ATGGATTAGGAGAAGGGCAAAACATATTAAAACATGAGAAGAATAAAGAAACCAAACCATCATATCAGATAACTGATCTTTAAATTCACTTCAAAAAAACCCACTTGCCTATCTTGCTGAGCTGCGAGTCAGTGAAAGATTGCACCTGTTCTCCTGTTCTCTCCTACAATGCCTGCTGCTCTCAGTCAAAGGACAAAAAACAGTGAGCACAAGGAATGGTTTTCATCTTAAGTTTTCATGTTTAAAACCTAAAACCTTCAGGTTTACTGTCAAGCCTATATTTTTCTAGGTCACTTAACCATACAGAGCCATCATTAGTAGTAGGCTCCACAGTGTTCCTTTCTACTGAAAAAAAGAAATCATTATAATCTTTTCTCAGGATCCTTCATCTAGCTGAACCCCCTCATTTCCTCGTCTTCTTTCAGCTTTCTCCCTCCCTGAGGTTTAAAACTGACGGCTGTGATCACCATGCAGAAGATAATGGATGTTACCAGCAGTATCCAGTGTGCTTTGGAGGAGATGCAGACAGAGCTGACAGGGTGTGCTACCCATCTGTTCATTGTCAGTTTATCACCAAGTCTGTCTGTGTTTACCAAACAGCATTCAAGGACGGTGGGACAAATGGAGCCCTCCAATTTTGCACTGAAGCAGATGAGAGTATTGACATGAGCTGTTTGTTCAGCTGGAGGGTCCCAAGCTGCACTAGAGAGGCCATGATAAGCCCCTGGCAACGGTAACAGCCTTGGCTGCCTGCAACTTTCTTCATGGTAATGATAGTGCTTGTGGATGTACCCCTCAACTGGCCATCAGAAAACTCTTTACTCTTTATGTCTGTGTCCAGAGTTCCAGAAAGGTGAATACTGGGTTTTCCTGAAGTATCTCAGAGTGGAGTTCCACCCATGGAGAGCACAGTACTAAGAGGAGAACTGCTTCTCCTGCTCTGCACTCCCTGCTTTGCTCTGGCACCTTGTGGTAATTCACTGGACCCTGCTGTGAGCTGATTCAGCTTGCTAACTGAGCAGAAAGCACGCCAGCAAAAGAATGAAGAGATTGTTGCTGAGTTAGCAAGTTGAGCCAGTTCACAGAAAAGTGGGATGAGTGCCAAACCTGGCCTAGGACACGCTAGAACTACGAGGCTGAAGTCCTTCCCTTCAGCTGCAGCACCAAAGCTCCAGGTACATGTACACCCTTGCTCTCAGGCAACCCCCCCATTTGACCTTACATTTGATCATACATGACTGCTGTCCCAAGCAGCATCTAGAATCAAAGAAAGAGATTTTCAGGATACTAAATTAAATTAAGGGAAATCTGTTGGTTTCTGTAGACATTCTGTCTAGAGAAAGACTAAGAGAGAAATACTACCATGTTGCCAGATGTATCAATCACATGGATGTTTTTATGTATGAAATGTTGATGTTTTGTGGCTCTGCAAAGATAGTAATTTATTAAAATCTCTTCCATTTAGGAGAGAACACTGAGACGAAGCTATAAATAGAAAATATTTTTACCATCTGGCATATTTTCATCTTTGTTCTACAGCATCCCACATTAAATCATGCTGTAGCACTTACTGCAGGACTGAAGCAGTTGTATACAGGGTGATCTGAATGCAGGGAACCAAAATCTCCTTCCCATTATACTGACTATATTTCTACTGCTTTCAATGGAGATGTATTATAAAAACAATTGCCCCAAGTTTCTTAGTTCCTGTTGATGGGATTCATCTGCAGGATTAGCTATTGATCTTTTAGTGGTGATTTTAATTCTAATATCAAGTGATCATTCCTTCTGTGAAGAAGCTGTCTTAAATGCCAGGGGAAAAATGCATCCTGACATGGTTTTGTGAAGCAGTCATTTCTTAGGTGCTTTCAGTCGGGAAATGAAAGAAACAATGTCTCAGTCTTCCTTTTGGCTGTCCCACGTTCCCTGCTGTTTCGTGGAAAAGAGGAAAAGAAATTAGGTGACTAAAAGCCCTTTCAATCCTACTCTTTCAGAGACTGTTATCTTTCTCCGGGGTTTTTTTGGTTTTTTTTTTTGTTTGTTTGTTTGGGTTTTTTTTGTTTTTTTGGTTTTTTTGTTTTTTTTATTACAAGAGCTGATGAACTGTAAGGGATTGGTCAGAGAGAGAATTGTGTACACAGCCTTACCATCTGAGTTAATCTTCCAAAATGCAATTCATCTGAGTGCTAACTGTAGTGAATTTAATGTAACATAAGGCTAAATTGAGAAACTAGAAACAAATCTTATCTAATGGGCAGTTAGTAACTGAATAGTTAGACAATCCCAAATCCCTACCACTTTAATGCAATTGAGGTGTATGTGAAAGACATCCTCTCAGCACCTACCAGCAGCAGCTTCCATTACAGGTGATAGCACTCTGAATATATTCAGGCCAACCTTAGTGTAATAAGGGGAAAGGAGTGGGAATGGACAGGTGTCCTATCTTTAAAATCTATCTTAAGGGTTTTTGTAGTTTTAAACAGATTGCAGTTTACTGTATCAGTTTTGGGACACACATGAAAGCTCTTAGTATGTTTGAAGATTTTTATGGGCTGGTCTGTCTAAAACTAGTGAGGCTTAACACTTTTGAGGGTAATTATGAGGAGCCTCTCCAGCAGTCCATCATCTGTGTCTTGTCCAGATGAGCAAAAAAGTAATATTTCTGGAGTGGCATTATGCAACAAATCATGTGAAGGACATAATGTGCAAAAATATATGAACAGTGAAATTAATTTTTAATAATTACCCTTGTGTTCATTCAGTTATATTGATCCAAACTGCTTTCTGAAAACAATTTCCTGTGACTGCTTAGGCTGTATTTACTTATTACTCATTTGCTTATTACTCATTATTATATTATTAAGTGGGAAGATTCATTTGGAGAAAGAGAGAGCCTGAGAGAGGTTCTCCTCATTTCTTCTGGCTTTCAGAGGCAAGAAGCAATTTTGCATGTTTGAGTGTCATTCAACTGCAGTAAAGGACAGCACTGGGAGAACCAGTTAAGGGCAATGCACCCAACTGACCTGACCTGTCGTTGTCACGACAGGGCTTGATGGATCTTTACATAAAAATGCAGTCATTTCAGTTAAATTACATCTTGTTCTCATTTCCCATCCATACAGAGGTGAAATAGCTCCCTACTTCATAGTTTTAAACTACTGCTTAAGAAGTTGGAAACTTCTGTTGCATTTGAGTTATGCTCAAACCTGTTGGTTGTTACTGATAACTGGTAACTCTGTACCACTGATTCCACTGAATTTAATGAAACTACACCCAAGCAGGTAGAAGTAAGGCTCGAGGTTTTTTATTTCTTGCAGCAAGACACACCAGGTGTTGTACCAGCTCTAAAATTACTTACTTCCAGAAACTATAATAAACTTCCTGAAAAATAAAGCAGAACTGAGTTCACATGGAATCAGAGATGAATGATGCATCCTGGCCAAATCACTCTCTGCAAACTTTGCATTCATGTGATAGCCAAATTAACTTTCATGTGATAATTTGCAGATAAATTCCATCCAAAACCCCAGTATTCAAGCACCTCTAATAATGTGAATTTGATTTTTTCACATTAAAACTGTGATAAAGCCATACTAATTATTTTTAATTATCTCAAGATGAAAATATGTCACTCATGTAAGTACTTATGTAAGCAATTTAAAGCTGATTAAATAATAATGACTCTTTCTGCATTGCCTTCAAAGTGCTTATAACTAAATTTAATTTTAAGCAGGATCAAGAAAATAATCATTTGATTCAAAGATTAATTACTAATTTAAATAATGATTCATTTAAAAACAGATCTATTTTTTTGCAGACTCTGCAGTGCATTAATTGACATTTTACAAAATGTGTCATTTTGGCAAGGAGAAGTATTCTTCAAATAGTGAATCACAACAACCAGAAGGGGTTGTTAAAGAGCTCCAAGGGAGCTTTGGCAGCTCAGTGAAAGCAGCTCTATTTAGCAGCAGTTTGGCTTCTCCAGAACGACTGGAAAAGTTGCGGTAACTCTGCTCTTCACACCAGCCAGGGCACTGCTCTCTGCTTTCACTGCTGCCAGTGGGTGAGAGAGCTGAAGAAAGTGTGTCCTAAAGCAAAAGAAACAGCTTTATTGAGACATGCTGGAACAGGATAGAGAACACTTTAGATCAGTTTAGAAGTGTAAGAATCAGGAGGCTTATTGCTTTTTTTCTAATCCAGTTTGAAATGGATAGGGAGTCTCAGCAATCTGCTCAGGATTTTACCCAGGACTCAGAGCTTTACAACAGTAGGGCTAGTTTTGTTGGGCGCTTTCTGTCTAGACCCTCTGTACCTGCTAACCTCCCTTGTTAGGAACTGGAGGAGTAACAACACCCTCCAAAAATGGGAAAGATTTTTGGATGTAAAATCCTTGGTAAAGAACTACCTTTTTGATATGTAACTTGTAATAATTAAACCAAATGGCTGACTGGTTCTATAGGATATGTTAGGAAAAACTGCATTAATATATCAGTAATTTTTCTGATAGTAGATCTTAAGCCCCAATGAGATTATTATAACCATCATGTGCAATAAGTGACTAATGTCACTCGTGGATTTTACCACTTTTTTCTACAGCAAATTCAATCGCTCAATTTTGCTCACTCAAATCATATGCTTTGTAAGCTCAAGGGTGATCAGGACTCCACCTAAGGGAGTTTACTGACATTTTACTGACTATATACAGTCAACCTACATTTGTTACACTTACCAATTTCACCTTTCTCACCCTTTAGCTCCTCAGAGAATCCATCTTAATCAGCACTGGAGACAGCTTGTATGCTCTCCTGCTGCACCAGGCACTGCTTCAGCCTTTGCAACTTGCTTTGGACAAGTTATTTTTTTGCCAAAGCCTGATGGAAGGAAAATTTTTAGCCAATATTTAGCCCTGATCACTTTTTCTCCTTCAGGCTGTATTTATGTTCAGATTGAACTGTCTTTACCTTTCTCATTATTATTTTCTTATAAAGGCATCTGTTTACTTCAACACTTAGCTACTGCATTTTCACTTAATTATCTGGCTTCAGCAGAGAGCCTGAATACTTCTCCATAATAACTGACCATTTGTTTTCTAGTGCAGGCTGACCTTTCATGATTTATCAAAATGCCTGTGTCATCTTGTGACAAACCCTATGATCGGTCCTTTTATTATTAATTAACAAAAAATAAAGCAAAATATCTTGTTCAATCTTCAACAGCATAAGCTATTATTTGTGTGGAAAAACATAATTCCACTCATTTCATCCCCTTCAGTGTTCAAAGTCCTTCGGTGTGTTTTTGTGTGTTTACCAAGATCCTTCGCAAGATTAGTGTCTCCCAAATCAGCATCACCCCAGCCTGCCAGTATCTGTGCTTCTACCGTAACATGAGTCTGTGGTCTCCCCCACAGCTTTAGAGGACTGCACAAACAGGAAGAGTTCAGCTCTACACTGTCAGTTTGAGCTGAAATCAAACCCAACTTTCCCCTTACCATTCAAACTTCCGACTGCTCCCCAAGCCATACAAGTATATTGGTACTTAAAACTGCTCAACAGAATGCAGGGTGAAGGAACTAAAGGGTGTAACAGAAAATAAGATCAACCTTCTTCCCTTATAATATAAACCAACTTTTAATAATAAAAACATCTCTCAGGTTTTCAGTGAGAATAACACATACATTTCAGTGTAAAACAGTGCACAGTGTAAATGCCCTTGGACATCCTTCTCTGCATCTCTCGTGTTGCCAGAGGCTGCAGGCATGGGCCAGGATCCTGCCCAGGTTGTTCTGTGGAGCACAGCTGATGGGGACACAGACAGGGCTTGCCCAACGGGTTCTTTTTTACTTTGGGGTGTTCCTGTGGTTTTTATAGTACTAAGTACGTTTGAAATTGAGGATTCAGTGAAGAAACATCCATTTTTTCTTCAAGTAGCAAATGATAACAGTAACATTTCCAAAATTAGCAAAAAGTGCATTGAAATAGAGATCTGCTTATCTGGTTGCAGTCCAGAATGGACCCCCAGTACCAAATCTATATCCCAAAGCTGGCAGTCCATGGGCTGTCCTAGTTCCCCCCAGCCTTGCTGTAGATCAGAAGAAACAGTTAAAAGTAAGAAATAAAAAAAAAAAAAAAAGATAAAATAAAAAAGGAATTTCCTTCCCCAAAATTATTCCAGTCTGTGGGAGAAGAAAACAAATATTGAAAAATTAAGAAACAAGATTAAGAACAAACTGCATTCCCACAACTTGTCATAAACAGTTTTGTGTTCAAGAGAAGATTAGAAAAATTAAAGAAACCTTCATGTCCAAATGAAAACATCCAGTTTTAGTTTTTGAGTTGCTTTGGATGTTAATAAAATAAAATTAAGCCCACTAAAAAACAAACAACACAAATAAAACCCCCAAACCTTTATTTTCTAAAATATACATTACTGCAAAGCGCTCCTGGGTTGCCTAACTGGGAGCTGTTTAAAGGAGGCTGCGGAGGAACAGGAAATGGGAGTTTCTTGTATGCCTGCCACGTTAGGGAGGGTTGGTCATGTTAAGGCACTCACTCCAAAGGAACATGATTTCTGTCCTGAGACTGCTGACATGCTTTCATTAGTTTCAGCCAGTAATTTGGAAAAAAACTACAGCGCTTAGGGCAATACTGACAGAATGGAGAATGATTTTACAAACAAGAAAAAATAAAGAACATTATATACATTATTCCTTTTTTCTTTTAACTTAAAAGCATCCCTAATACATCTTAATAACTGTATTAAATTCTACTTAAATATTGAAGGTTTTAAATAATGTAGATTTTTCAGTCAGCTGGGAGTAGCTGTGTAACTGCCAGTATATTGGTCCCATTTTAAACAATATAATTTTTATTTTAACCTTGTACATGTAATAAGATGATTGAAAACACATATTATTCCACTCCACATAAATAAGTATAGTTCTTCTGACCTGTTTTAAAAACTACATCTGTTCAAATAATCAGATTATAAGACTGTATTTTTTCTTTATAATGTTCTCTTAAAAATCCTACACTCCTCTTCACTAGCACTGTATTCCAGAGTACACCATCACAGGGCATTAGTAAAAAGAGTTAATCAAAAACCTGAAAGCTACAGTAAGTGAAATGAAATAATGATAAGAAGTATTATGGAATGTATACTCTGCAGCATAGAGAGATTCTCTCACTGGGCCAAAGTGGAAAATTACTCCAGAAGAAATTCTTTATGTTCCTATTTGAATAAACCAAAAGTTGTGCTATTCTTTGCTCAAAAGTGCAGGTCATTTCTTGAAAAAGAGGGGTTTATGAAACTACCACTAAAGGATGTTGTCCAAAAACCTGCTGGCAGTTAAATGGGTGCCTGGGGCAGTACAGGGAGAGAGGCGTGTCCAGCATGATTTTCTGAACCAAGCTGTATCTTGAAGTCCACAACTTTCTGGTGGTTGCACAAACAAGTCGCCAGGAGAACTGCGCTTTCTTGAAGAATGATGGTCATTTTCCAGGCATCTGGCAAATGGCAGCAGCCATTCCTGCCTGTGGTGCTTTCTTCAAGAATTTCTCCAAGAAGTCAAAGAAATACATGGATCCTGCATGGGCTCCAGGAGTTCGAAGGCAGATTCCTGATGCCTGGGCCAGCAGGTCCCTCTGCTCCAGAGCACAGCAGCACCACTGGGGTCAGTCCGTAGGGTCCTCGGCCAGGGCTCCTCAGAGTGGAGTGCTCTTGTGGGGCTGCCAAGAGGTGCCTCTTTCTTCTATAAATCCCCCTCTGTAGGCGGCTGGCACAACCTATAGAGTCTTCAGTACAGAGGAAAAGTAGGGAATTAAAGATCATAGGGATAATAACAAAGTTGCTGGAATCATGTATGAGGGTAAGCAGCTTCTTTGTTATTCTGCAAGTTTTAGAGGTAATGACATATCAAGAATTCTCCTATTTTTAATCTTAGTAATTGCAACTTTAGAAGTGCCATTAGCCACTTGTTAACTAAAGTATTTACAATCATTGTTTACAATATTATTTGAGACTCTCCATCACTTCTTAATTTTGGCTCAGTTTGGTTCTTCAACAGAGCCTTCTCTCTTTTTCTATTTCTTTTGGTTTTAAAGTCAGTTCAGAATTTTTCCTGAACAGAAAAGTTCTCCCCCCTTATACAGGCTTGGATACCAAACACATAAAAATAAACATATCTGCTTGTTGTTGTGCTTGAACAAATCTTAAAATGAAGAGTCATCTTTTCTGAGAATTTTTTTGACTCACAAGATTATCAAATTGAGAACAGTGGTTAAACCTAAGCACATGTTGATTTGTCATTCATGTATGACTTTGTGAGCTTTTTCTTGGCTTTTTCTTCTTTATATCAGAATAAACTCAAGTCTTTTATAACTTCTCTTTCAAGACAGCTATTACAGATTTGTACTAAGAAATATAATCCTGGGAGTTAGTTCACCAGATCTCCTTTTAACTTTGCTCAGTTTTATTTCGCATTATGATGGAACCCAGCAGGAACACACATATCTGATCTTTATTGCTCTGAAATAATTAAAGTAAATAGTTCTGGAATTTATCATTGTGATTTAGAGTGTATTCAAAAGAAAAAAATGCCTCATCTTGTGATTTGTTTTTAAAACTGCTTCTTTTTGAAGGTAACATGGTTATGGCCATATCAGTGGAGCCAAAGTAATGTATGGCCATTAATAAGGCAAAATAACTACACTGTCAAAACACTGATGGATGGCACCTGGGCCATAGTACAGCAGCCAACACCAGAGCTTTGTTTGTTTTTGAAATATCAATTACAATGCAACAGAAGGATAAGGTTCTAAATGCAACATTCTACTCTTTAACGTCTCTGAGAAAATGAACCAAGACTAGAGAAAGTTAGAGGAAGTCTTTAGAGACCGCAGTCTCTAAAGTTTAAATTAATTTTCTATGAAGACTTTGAGGAGTGGATAGGAGAGAAAAAAGAAAAATTAAAAGAGGGGCTAATTTAGACTAACTCAGAAGTCTGAATGGGTGAATAAGGTATCAATGTTTAAGGAAGTCTTCTTAACACGGAACCAATGTGCTCTTTGGAGGACTCGGGCACTAGCAAACACATTTGTTCTGTCTGAAGATACGGCACAGACTCTGCTGGACCTTTTCTAATGTGCATTCTGAACTGTTTTGCCTTCATGTAAACAATGCCATTAACAACAGCAGAATCAGAAGTTTCTCTAGTATTTGTACAGACAGATTCTGCATATATTGTCATCTAAACCACAGCAAATCGTTACTGCCATTGTGGGAAAATGTTATGTTACAATTTATTAAAGAACATTCTTTTCTCTCTGAGAGGTGAAATTGGAAGAAACTGACCCAAGATACTTTACTTAAAAGTAAAGGTATTATTCTCTCGTAGAGAGACATGAACATCTCTGTCTCCCATTAGGTGCAGTAGGATTCACAAATGCACCGTTTTTCATAGCTGCTTTCTAGACAAACCCATATACAACCCTGGGCAACTGAGATTCCTCTTAGAGCTGCATTACTGTGTGGTTACTCTGACTGGAAGTGCTTGCTCTTAAACCTGCTCTGCTAGAACTAAATCATCAGACTCTTGTAAGCACACTACTGTATTATTTGTGCATATCTGCAATCATATTTGCTGTCCAGGAATTTTTCTTTCTAAACATTCCAGCGATGACTGTCCATCACTAGCTTTGCCAACTCATAGAAATAGTCCAAAACAGATCAGCTATGTTTGATTCAGAAAATACAGAAACCTTTGAATCTGATGATCTGCAAATCATAAGCAGCAAAGCTGATTAATCTGCAGTGTGTATTTAGTTTGGTACAGGGAGAAAAAAGAATATTATTTTTTCTCCTTTTTTCCACTATTGCAACTAAGATCATCTTTGCTTATAGCAGGAACTCCACAATTGTTACAGAAACAAAATCAGCACTCAGAGAAAATGTATAATTCATAATAACCTACCGAGGTGCATGCTGTGGCATTTGGTCCATCACTTTCAGATTCTTGGCAGAGATTTCAACCCTTGGTCCCTGTGGAAAAAGAGAATTTATGGTACTGACAGTATTGATAAAGCAAACGATCCTTAGGAAAAAATATTATAATGGAAGTATAATTCCTATTTGAGAATCCATTAACTACTTCAAAAAGATTTTGAATCCATTGGGTGGATACAATTATCAACTATGTTAACTTAAAAGACAAATTAGTCACAAAGCACTTTACAAGCACTGCTGTCTAGCACTAGGTAATTTCTGCTATTTTAACACTGTGATTGAGACTTGGATTTCTTCTGTACAGAAATTGTCTTAAATATACTGCACATTCTTTCTTTTCTAACCTTTAAGGCACACACAATATACACTGAGGCATAGATTTGAATTGTTGTAGGGGCTGAACATGCAAAAGTTAACAGTGCTGCTGTCACACACAGGTGTAATAATTCAGCCATCAGTAGGAGTTGGGATATGTAGGTTTGCAGTGCACAAAGTACCGTGCCACACCGAAATAAACTGGGTTTTGCATCATTATGTTACTGGACAACGGTGGCACGCAGCAGACACATGCGAACACTTACCTGCTTCCGCATGATGTCTGTAGCTTGCATGATACACTTGGGCAGGAGTCCATGGCTGCGGGCCAGTATGGCTGCTTGCTCCAGGGACACACTCAGTGTACTCCTGAACAAGGGAACAAGAGTTAGGAAATCACAGATCATAGCTTAAAAAGTATAAACAAGTAAGTATAGACTTACTTGTTAGGTATTGCTTCTGTTAGCTATTTACTTTTATTTACTTTTGTAGATTTTCTTACATACAAAACTATTAAATGACCTCAGTCTTGTTGCACCTGCGTACTGCAATTGTTTGAGTCTCCAGCATCATTACTACAAGGCTGTGTGTCACTGCTGTTCTGCATTGATTCATTTTAAAGGAATTCACAAATTACTCTTTACTTTTGAGACACTGGCAGAACAGTGGTGCATTTCAAAATCAATGTGTGTGCACACCAAGATTCTAAAGCTATTTCTGAGCAACTTCCTAAATTTTCAGTGTGACTGAAGACAATGCTGACTACAAGTTCTGTGCAAGGAGATCACTTGGACAGTTGCATTGGATAATGCACTGAAACACAAAATCTTTTGTGTCAATACTATTATTAACAAAAGTAAAAGTTAGAACCTTCCCTGAAGTAAAGATGTCAGCAGATTTAGGTCCTTATTACATTCCCTTAAAATTTACCTTATTTTATTTTGAATAGGATCACATCTCTAGAAAGGACAGAAGCTGCCATCATAGCAGCCATAACCAGGTTTAACCCTCATTCACCTCTGCATCCCAGTGGCACACATGGTGATGTGACAGGCTCCCAGCCGGTAACAGAGCTCAGAGGATATGGGCAGCAGGCCAGCTCCTGAGGAGGCACTGCTGGAACATCCCGACTGCCCTGGCTTTGTACTAATGAAAGACTTCAGCAGCCTGCAAAGCTCATCCATTGCATTGATAGGACGAATAAGCTAAACAGAGCAATACAAAAACAATCAGTGGCATAACACCTTCAAGCTATAAAGACATTTACAAGTCTTTATCCTATTGTCTAAGCACAGTATTCTACACCAGAGTAACTGCCACACATTAACAACTATTTAAAATATATATGAATTCTGGAAGTGGCAAAATAAAACTACGGCTTGGAACAGTTTTTTATCACAAATCACACAGATTGTTTACAATGCGAATTACAATTGCACAGATGTTCCCTGCAGTAGCATTACATGCACATATCCACATGTCACCTGCCCAGTTAGACAGACTGCCTATACCTGAGATCCTGGGCAGCATTATTTTCTTGTTTTCTCTGCAATGAAGTGTACAAAGTGAACAAAGTGTAACTTGCAAATTGAACATTTGTTTGTTTTCATGCATCTGCCTGAGAGGGAAAAAGCTCATTCTGTCTGGTATCAGACACCGTGTTTGACAAGGGCAGGCAGGGTCACATACGGTCTTCTTAGTGCTGCAGTGAAGGGGGTTTGTGTCTACCCACATTCTGCACATTTTCTTCTCAACAAAAGAACTGTAGCCAAGTTTCAGAGAAATTCAGATTCCCTCATTAAGGTTGGGAATATTTTAAAATGCTGTTTGGGTATGGATAGATCTACCACACAGGTATGCCACAACTGGAATTTTAGAGATGTTGAAATAATACTTCTACGAGAGAATTTGTTGCAAAAAAACCCACAGAAACAATACCTGGTCAATCTTCACTGCAGTAGTATTGGAATCAGTGGGCAAATTTGATCTCTCTAGGTAAAACGTCCTGCAAAAAGGCCAACAGGTCCTACATTAGTTAGGTTTGCCCCACTTCAAGCACATATATGTATACTATATTGTATAAAACAGCACAGAAAGCTATGCTAAAAATCTTGCACTTGAAGATCTGCTTCCTTATTGAACCATAGTGACTGCAATAATTTACAGATTCTGTGCTAACGTATTCCAAATCCCCATTAAGAAAAATATAATTCTAGCTCTGCACAAAATTCTGAGGTCAAATCTGCATTCCTTCTGAATGGGCTAAACTACTGGAAGAAAATACCAAGCTTCCCACACAATGAGGATCTCTATAAATCCTATTTGTGCAAAAACCGCATCAAGATCAAAACATCTTTTTCATTCAATTTTAAAGTCCTTAACAAGGAGTGCTCTGAAATTTTCAGTGTCTTTTAAGGCAAAGCAGAAGTACAAAATACCTGAGTTTACGGTAGTATTGCTGCACTTTTTCGAGTGAAATACCATTAATTTGCTGTGGGAGTTCTTCTAGAGATGAACCAGCTGGTTGTGATTGCCCCTCTGTACTCTCCAGAGCTGAAGAAGAAAACACTTTACTAAAGCTATGTTTTAATACCAGTGATTTTTAAAAATTATTTATCTCTGTATCATCTCATTTCTCAGTAGATGACTGTTGGATCATGCCAAGGCTGATTCTATTATTCTATACATGTAATGCATTTCCTAGAATGGGAGTACAGTGGTAGTATCACAAAGGTGACCTTCACAGAAGGCAGCTCTGTCTGACAGCAGTTACTCCCCACTGCTGGTCCCTTGAAAGAAATTTCCTTTGTTGTATTTTGGTGTGAATATTTACTTACCAAGTTGATTTCTAGCCCAGACGGTTCTGCCCACAGTGTTTGCTTTTTAAAACGCTTCTCTGTAGCCTGGGCACATCTCCTGATCCTACACTAGATCAAACCATCCATGTAGTCCAGTATAATGTCTCTATGACTGAGACATAAAAAAAGCCCCAAACCAGCACATCTTGTTCCCATGACTGTGTCTAATTCTAAAGTCTAGCACTCCCTAGGCTTTCCTAAAATAGAAATAACTGCTTCCTAAGTGAGTCTGTAGGTCTCAGCTGCTTTTTTTAAGAGCTTCATGGTCATTATTTTTGATCTTTCAAAATCAGCAGTTAGCTTCTTTTTCTCAAGAAAGCTTTTTATAGACACCTTTTGTAAAGAGAACTGTGTGCAGTTTCAAGGTTCCCCCATTCTGAAACCGAGCAGGCAGTTTGGAGAAGTAGTAGCTGTCAAGATAAAAGATAACCTTCAAGGCCTGACGACTTCCTTCGATGTGGTAGAAGACATGAGTATCTGGAGAAATAAAGATAAAACACTTGCTGCTTTACCACAGCAGGAGAATTGTGAAACCACTGCTATCTGAGTTTGTTAGATTACCTAATGACATATCACATCTCCACCATAAGGTCAATAAGGAAGAGCCTTTATGGAGAGAATGCAGGCTCTGAAACCTTATACTTAAAAGATCATAGTATGACCTAGTATGATGTTTGATCCAAATACAGTAAATATGGTTAATAATTAGAATCTCATGTTGTTTCATGGCATTTCATAGCCAATAGACATGAAGAGAGAGATCTGGCAGGGTAAGACACAGGACACTGAAAAGCTGGGAATTCACCACAGGGAGCATGGTGCTAATTCTCTGTTATATCTCCTCCCCCCAAATGGAATCACACGAATAAGGCACACTGGCACAGGCTACAGCTACACACACACCACCATTCCATCGTGTCAGTCCTGCTTTAGGGGCCCTATGCTTGCAGGGGAAGCTGAGGGAGCACAGTGGTGCTTCAGAGAAGCTGCCCCGTGCTCCCTAGGTGTGACACAGTCTCTCAGATTTACAATCATAGAGGATATTAAACCATAGAACATACGGGAAAAAAAAAGTGCCTCAAAGAAACAGAGAATACTCACTTGCTACAAGACTTTCATCCAGCTGCTTGAAAAAAAAGGCAACTTTGTCTAGTTCAGCCAGAGTGACCTGGATGTCTTCCAGCATGGTGCGCTCCTCCTTCTGTAGGGCAAGGCCACAGAAACAAATAGGTTATTATCTGCCAGAAGATGAGTGACAGGGAGGTACTGTTGTTATGGGCATGTTTTGGTTCAAGAAACCTAAAGCAGAGTGCAGAGCTTTCCATTAGCTCCATCCCAGCCGGGAAATCACTAACAGCTTTTAAACTGAGTGATACATTAACCACCCTTTGCTTAGATGTCATTTGATGTGATTCACAGAGCAGAGAGGTTCAAGAACTGCGTAAGTTTGAAGGGATCTCCTTCCCCAAACTTTATACACGCAAAGGTGAAGAACAGCTGATCAGTTACTGCAAAATGAATACTGATACATTCTGTGCAATGTAAACAAAGAGCAGTTACATGCACAGATAGTTTGGATTTTATCTTAAAAAAAAATTCCATACTCAATCTACAATGGCTACAAAGTAGAGAAAAGAACCTCCCTTCTCTATAATATCAGAGCTACCTGTCTGTTTTATGCCTCTCTTTCCTTAGCATTTTTAGAATTTCAGCAGATCTCCTGTAGCTGTGGCTCATCTGTTCATTAGGTGCAGATGAACTATGCAAATACAGCTCCTCTTCATTGTGCCTCAAGCCCCAGCACCACAGACCGGGGAGAGAGAGACTTCACTCTGTTTGTCTCAACTCCTGCAATACTCAGAACTTCCTCACCCATTTGGGACATGCGTGTCCTCACCAGGCGATGGCAGGGGACACTCGTGCCACCAACAGTTGGGCACTAAAACCTCTCTAAATGCGGCAGCATTGCTTCAAATATGAAGGCTGACTGTTTCCTGGTGTGTTCTAGTGTGACAATGGGTCCAGCATTTGTGAAGAGGTGAATATGACTGGATAAGGAATATGGCACTTGGTTGTCAGCTGTGGAAATCTCCAGTTTGCAGTAGTGAGAGTCTGAATACACTGGTGGAATACAGGGAAGAGGTTCAACCGCTCTGCTGGCTCTGCTGACTGGCACAGAATCACACAGGCAAATGTAAGCAGACCTGAGGATACCACAACTCTTCATCTTACCACAGTGGGGGAGAGAAGAGACTGGTAGTTCAGTAAAACTCCAGTGGCTGCTATCTGTTCCAGCCATTTTCTGCTGGCATCTCTGCTGCTCTCTTCGTATTCCCCATTGTTGTTGTACCGATAGTTGAGGGCAGCCAGTAATTGCTCTGAAAAGGTGCAAATAGCAGCTACAACAGACTGACAGAAGATGGAATCACGTCTCAGCTGTAGCTCAGTATCTGCCAGAGAAAGGGAGAGAAGCATAAAGAAATCATTAATATACTCTTCCTCCTTCTTACTGCCAGCAAAGTAGTGTGTCTGTGCGTCTGTGTGTGTGTGTGTGTGTGTGTGTGTGTGTGTGTGTGTGTGCACACATGACATTTGTCTTCTGCTGTAGCTTTGCACTGACTTCACAAATAACCTCTCCTTGCTGTCTGACCTGGATGGACAGATAGACAGCACAGCTGGAACATGTGCATGTTCCAAAATTTTCTATCCAATTGACTCTTCATTATTCCCTCTGCAATCTGCATGCTCCTTCTGACTGGAAAGAAACTAAAGACTGGAAAGTAACTAACTCCTTAATTACAGCCATATCTGGACTGATTCCCTTCTTTTTATGTTTACAGAAGCAAGAGAATTATTGAAAGAAGGTGTCCACTATTACATCTCTCCTGGGCTATTAATCTTCCCCCATCCATCTGTATTTTGTGGGCTTCCCATATGCCTAATGCATTAATTGGGCCCATCCATACGGTACCAATTGGTTTGTTTCTTGGGAGAATTTCCCCTGTGTTAATTTTGCTTCCAGTATGCCTGTCAGGCAGCCACATGCTGGTCAAATCAATCTTGTCATGCTTCAGGTGATTGCAGGCCAGAGAGGCACATGAATAAGTAAAGAGTTACTTCCCAGGCGCCCCCAGCCCTTCCAGCAGGCTCTGCAGCAGCCTCTCATTGGCAAGGCACTGTTCCCTAGGGAAAGAAGCTGAAGACATCAGCCAGAGCCTTTGAAGGTCTGGTTTATTTTTATAAGCACTGAACACAATAGACTGACTACACACTCCAGGCCCTGGGCCATATTCTCAGCTTAAGGGCAACCATCCTTCTTTCCAGTGGGTGTTCATGGAAATGCTGCAGGAGATGGGGCACACATAGAGAGACACTTCGGGAGACATTTTATCTGCTATCCAAACTCAGCCTTTGTGGTCAGTAGACTGGCATGCAGCTGGGTTTGGATAGACTCACAGACCAGCCCTGGCAGGAGCTGAGAGATAAGTTAGAGCCATACAAATCCCTGATCTTCATTCTATGAAGATTTGAGAATCAAGCGTGGCACAGTGAAACACCAGCTTCCAGTTATATAATTTTCAAACCAAAGGACACCAAATAAGTGCTACAATTACAAAAAGACTGTGCCCAGGCTCCTTGTAAAGACCTGTCCTTTGCTCTGAAAGCACAATGTTTGGTGTGTGGTAACAGCCAAGCATATTTGGGTTCTCCTTGCACATTTAAGGTCGTTGTCTGTTCTTGGCTGTAATTTCAGTATGCCTGCTCTGTTTGGAATGATGACAGAGTACATGGGCTCAAAAAAGTTGTGCAACAGATCTCGTTTTTACTGCATGTTCTCACCACAGCAGGAAGGAGTAAAGAGAAGAGAGGGCTCTCTTCCATCTGGGAAGGAGGGTTGTACAAAGGAAAAAATGAAGACAGAAAAACCCTGTCTTAGGGACTTCTTGGGTATGTTGCTGTTTTGTAAAAAATTAAACCCCCTTACCTGTGCATTTTAACAAGGCCAAAAGCAGTTGATTCTTCCCATCTAAAACAGCGAAGAAAAGAAATGCTGTAGTCAACATAATACCAAGGTAGATGTGATTGCAGCTGGTTAACGGTTTCCTCATTCCCCAAAAATCCCTGGCACCTGCATGGCCATATCTATTTACTCTGGTAACCCTCACTTGCACAGACATGTTCACGGCTGAAGAAACCTAAGTGTAAAGCAAAGAATTTTACTGGCTACATGCTCTGTTAACTACCAATTACTGGACACAAATTGCATTTGCAGATGAATCCCTAAGGAGGTGATTTCTATGCAGTGCTTCACACTGATCTTTAAACGTCAGTCTCATCTCCTGTTTCAGTTCAACCAGACTACAACAGTTTAGGGTGTTGTAATATCTGATTAGCACTGACTTCAATTTGGAACATACCAAGCATCTCTTAATTTTCTAAAATGGTTTAAAAAGCACAGGGAGACAGATGAGTCTGACATCAATCTGAATGGGCTGATGAAATAAAGTAGGGGGAAAAGGTTCTTTGGAGCTGCTGCACAGGTGCAATTTTACCATAAAGCACCAGGACTCTGCAAACCGTAACCTGTTCTACCTGGTCTTCTCTAGAGCCCAGGACAGCCTTATTAAAAAATGAGTTAAAATTATGAAATCAACTGCTAGGTTTGATCAAGATCTCTTCTCCTTGAAGCTAGTACGTTTCCTTAGTTACAGACCTTCCACATGTTTCTGTATGATGTCAACAAGGTTCTTGATGCGCAGTGGAAGGTTCCATGGATCTTCCTGAATGCTGGCTTGAATATTATTCCGGCACCTAACTGTAGTTTCTTCCTTCTGCTTAAATTCTAGAAAACATGGAGTGTGTTAGCCATTTAGGAAATGGCACATAACTAAGAGTAGCTTAGGAGCTATAATGTGAATACAGATGAAAGCAGAGATGCAGTACCAATAGCAGTAATTAGGAATTCAAAAGGTCCCCAAATAGAACTAATAGAGAGGGCAAAAGACTATTCCCATAGTTCCACTATCAGCAGCCTCCCTGCATTGCTTTTAGGATTGTGGGCCTGGTTGACATGCACAGTGCAGGGAGCTTCTAGACATAGAACCCCTCCTTCCTCTGCCTTTAATGACCAGCAGGCAGCTGTACTGGGTAGATCCAGAGAATAAGATCAACTTATGGCTGCAACTGTCACATCCTGTAATACTGATGAGAACTTCTGAAATATCCTGCTTTCTTTCACCTGATGAAAGCTACCTATTTCATTATAGAGTAAAAAATTTACTCTCCATGACTTAGCTATGTAGGTAAGCCAAACACCCCATTGTTGGTGATGAAGTGCATAAGCAGACAGAGAAACAAAAAAAAAAAAAATTATGCACAGGACCAGGAGAGCATGCCAATGTCCATCCATCACAAAAAGGTGTCTGTGGTAGCTATTAGACAGACACTGTGGTCCAGGATTCCAGCTGAGTGTAAGCAGGGCTTGTCTGCTCCTCAGTGTGATCAGTTAACTAAAGGACTCTCTCAGGGTAATTAATCTACTTTTAATAAATGAGATTCTGTTTAAGCAAAATAAAATAAATGTCTATTATTTCTTCACTTCATTCCAAGGGTGCATGGAAAGGCTAACATTCTACACAAATGTGAATGTGTTCATAGAGATGTACATATAACAGAACTTCAAGGAGTTATTTCTGAAGTCAAGAAAAAGAAAAGCAGGAAAAGATCTCTAGTTCTAGAGTTTGCCAACATAACTAAAAACCAGAGCCTATGAGAGGTTGGAGCTTTCACCTCCTGCAGCACTTGAGGTACAGCAAGAGTAGTAGGGAACATTTCCGTTTTCAAGTGGGAAAGGAAATACGGCAAATATTTAGAAAATAAAATCCTGTGTATTTCAGGCAGAAAAGAAACCACATCCTGAGCCCCAAAAACATTAAGACTAAAGAGTCATCATGCTCCCTGAGGAAAAAGAAAACATGGTATCATTTGTTTGCTCTCCACGGGAATCAGTTTTCAAAATAAATGTTACGCAAGGATGAGTTTACTCTGGCAATCATCCATCTGAAGAAAAACAGAGTAAGTCATTAAGCAAACTGAGGCAGAACTTTTGGTGCCTTGGATCTCCTGTGGTCAGCCCCTCATCAGCTTATCAGAGCACTCCTTCACCTTGAATCTGACCATCCCTACTTTGTACCTTTTCAAATATGTTAACATCAAAGCGGGGATTTGGAAACTTGTGATAGAGCTTTGAGAATTGAGCAGCATATAACAAGAGAGGCTTCTTTGGGTTGCAAAAGGAATTCCAATGAAAATGACATCTTAGAGATACAAAATTTCTGTGGTCAGACACAGTACCTGCCTAATGCACGACTGGGTAGACTGCATGTGTGGCCATAGCACATATGCTTTCATGTTAAGCTCTTAAGTCTTTGAAATCACATTATTAAATCCAGTCAATCTATTTCTTTACCTTGCAAACTGTGGTCCATGGGAAAGTGCTTGGTTTCCTCAAAGGCCTTACTTATTCCTGGTCCTTTTAGAAGTGCATTGATTGCATCAACCTACAATTGTATTGTTATCGATCAGTGTCAGTAAGACTTGCAGAAGAAAATCTGAACTGAACTCTTGTGGGAAACTGCTGAAGCACTTGCACTATTTGTGTAAGGAACAACTTATACAACAATTTTGGAACAACTGACACACAGCAGTCAGACTTTGTAGCAATGAACTGGCCTCAAAAGCCTCTTAACATTTAATAACAGCATTTTGCACAACATGCTGATGAGGTAAGAGAATAGCAAACAACTCTGGGGTTACACATTATAAACACATCTGCATGCTAAATTTGTGAGAACAAGTTGAAATCAGCTGAAATCTGCAAATATAATCCATTTATATCAAACAAAGTATTAGAAGTTTGTAGTTTTCTTCATGAAAGCTTTTTTTCCCTTAGTCTCAAAGCCTTAGGTAAGGCAAGTCAGCCTTGCTTATATCACAAGGCAACTTTAATAACATAGACAAAAGTGATTCATCAAACTGTCCTATAATGTACTTACTTACACTGTAACCCAAAATCTCAAAAGTATGCCTTCCTCAAAATATTATTTCATAACACAATTTAGTACTTCAAATTTCTTGATTGACATTGATAAAGAGAAAGAAATTCTGTGTAAAAGTAACACCTTCCATACCTGGTTAAAAAGGTGTTCCAGACAGCCATGAAGTTTGTCTTGCTTGTCTAAAGGTATCCTCATATCATTGGGAAGCTCATCTCCTAGGAGAAATTAAAAGCTTTTAACTTACAGACATGATCTGTGATGAGGCATGGGCACACCTTCATCCTGGTGCGAAGTAAATAATGATTGGTGCATTATCTCCAATTCTTAAATCAAAATACTCATTATTTTCATATAATGCAAGAATCCAACAATTAAAGAAACTTATCCCTGCCTAATACCTCTCCCATGCTCCAGATTTACTGTGGTTTATTAGAAAAAGGCGAAGCTGTATCTTTATGTTCTTGTGATTAGTTTTGAAGAGACCGGTGCAAATTAAATATGCAAGTGCTTATAATCAGCAGACTTCTCAGCGCTGCTGAAGGAGCGGGCACGAGAAGGATGCCTGTGACCTGTGCACACACTCACCTGACCCCATCTCATCACTGCCCAGGTAAGAGCTGTTGCTCCGCACGCTGGTGTAGGACAACACGGAGTCCCGGTTACTGTTACACTCACTGCAAAGGAGAGCACAGAGGGGACTGAACAAAAGCTGTCTCCACATCCAGGCACCCACACTGCTATTCTGCCTTTATTAGCACTGTCCCCACAAACTTAGTTCTGTGAAAATTAAATGACTGTAACTAATGACATGCAGAACAGTCATTAAGCAAGGACTCTGGAGCAGGACTGCCACAGCATGCCTTCTTCTATTTGCAGTTAATGCTGAATGTGTAATACATCACCCTGCTTCTGGAAATAATGAGAACAGACATCTCCACTAAACTTTGCTACCAGTTCTCAGAGTATTGCAGCATCCAAATCCAGCATATAGGGAGGCTGCAGTAGCACAGATACTGGAGGTGGGAGAGAAAACTTAGGGAATCTAACCCACTTGAGAATTAGGCACTGCAGATCCTATAATGAAGCAGAGGAGTTGTGACAGTGATCTCCACACCAATCTTGGCTCATGCACACCTGGAAAATTCTAGACTAAATCTCCTCTCTTTAAATTCACTTTAACTATTCTTACTGAAAGTAATCAAAAATACTACGGATCTTGGGCTGTCTCCTTCCAGTGAAGTGACAATGACAGTGTTTTGGGTACAAGCTTCAAAAATTCTCTCTCACTGTCTCTGCCTCTGATGTAGTTTTTAACTGGGATGAGAGAAAGAAATAAGAGCAACTGAAAGTACCCTAACTGGGATTCTTGCTGTTCTTTTTCAAATCTAGTATCAAATCTGTTTTTTTGCTCAGGAAGATTAGTATTTATGGCAACTACTCTGCAGTACAAACTCTTATGAACTAACCTCCAAATGATCCTAGAAAAAGAAGCATGGCTATTGCAAACAAGATATTTTCTTATCTGCAATTTGCTTGGGTTTGTAGCTAATCAATGCTCTTTTAAATCAAAGCCCTTAAAAACACATTCCCCCTTGAGTAACTAATCTGTAATATATGCTTAGTTCTCTGCCTCTGACTAATAAAGAGAGGGCAGAATAATGTTTCTCAAACTTACGTGTAGAATTCTGGAACAAGTGACAAATCCAGAGAGACTGTGCTATCACTTTGTTACCCAGAATAAATTAGCCTCAATTACAGAAATTTGAACTACAGGAATATCCTATTAACATGAAAGAAATACAGCACATTTTACTCAGAAAGCTCCAAAGCACATACCAGACTGAAATCTCACACAACAGAGATGCCCTAGATCTCAGCACTGCAAGTGCTTGTTCTATTTCTTTATTGGCTTTGTATTTGTTGTCCTTTGAGGCAATCAATATTCAAACAGAAAAGACCCCAAGCAACCAATCTTACTGGCCCTGTCCTGAGCAAGGGACTGGACTGTGCATGCTCAAGAGACCCCTCCCAACACAAACTGTTCCTCTTCTGCCATTCTGCAGTCTTGCACGGGTGGCACCTACTGTTACTGGTTTGAGTGCCCAACAACAGCAAGTACAGCATCAGGACTGCAGCAGGGATGTTACAGAGACAGATAATTCAGTCAGGTCCCTGGAATCCTCCCAGCTCTCCAGTCTTGCTAGAAATGCAAAAATGGCCAATTAAGGATGTTAAACTGCAGTGATCAGGCATGGCCACAACTTGTTATCCCACTTATTCTGAAGCTGAGTTTCCAAATGTTTCCCCCCAGAGAGAATTGGGAGTGAGATTCCCTTTGGTAGCAAGTATTCCTGGAGAATCAGCAGTCATGTCCCAAAAAGATTTTGAAGCCTGAATAAACATTTCCATTTGTGGTTTCAAAGGCCCATTAAAAATAAAAATCTCAATGTCCATTTCTGTTTCTCAGTATCTTAAGACTTTCAGGAAAATTGTCTGGAGAACTGAATGTTAATACCAGCTATTTTAAGACCAAGCAGTCTGAGAATTCTGCTGGACTTCTATAGTTTCTGGCAACAGCATACAGAAAGTCACACTAGACCTATTTATTTAATTTTATTCAGTTTTCTAGAAGCCTTAGTATTTTAGCATTATTCTGGGGGAAGCATTTTTGCTGTGTATGTCTCTAGGGTAATAAATGTAATGAATACTTATGTGAAGTGAATACTCTACTAAGTGAATACTAGATAACTGACTGGAAAACAACCAGTTTGTTAAATCCATACTGGGATCAGAACTTTGAAACATTGTATTAGTAAGGTAAAAGTGGCACAATCTTCAGACTCACCTATAGGAGTCTCTGAAACTCATTGTGTCATGTCCAGAGTCTTCCTGGTCCTCGTCAGAAACTTTGAAACAGACCTTCTTGACTCCACCATGCTCAACTTTGTCAGGATCACTGTCTTCTGTTCCCAGGGAAGGCGAGGATGTCTCCTCAGTAGATGGTGCCTCACAGGCACCAGCTTCTGTAGGTTCTGTTATGGTGGACAAAAGTCTGCAGAAGCACAACATAGAGCTCTCAGTCCCACAAATAAACTGTCATGACTAAGGCTAAATGCAGCTATGTGAAATCAGAGCTGTGTGAGCACTTTACATAGATCTGATCTGAACATGCTCTCAGTTTGAGGCCATCCCCCCCTTGTCCTGTCACTCCAGGCCCTTGTAAAGAGTCTCTCTCCATCTTTCTCGCAAGCTCCCATCAGGTACTGGAAGTCCACAAGTAGGTCACCCCAAAGCCTCTTCTCCAGCTTAACAATCCCAGTTCTCTGAGCCTTTTCTCACAGCAGAGCTGCTCTGTCCCTCTCATCATCTCCATGGCCTCCTCCGGATTCTCTCCCACATCCTTCCTGGGCTGGGTACCCCAGAGCTGGAGGCAGCTCTGCAGGTAGGGTCTGTGACCTGCACTGGGCAGAGGGGCAGATTCCCCCCTGGCTTCACCTGCTGCCCACACTGCAGGGAGGAGGCCAGGATACAGATGGCCCGGGACTGCATGATGCTGTCTGTGCACACTGATAGCTTATGTCCAGCCTCTCATCCACCAGCACTCCCAAATCCTTGGCACATTTGCTTTCAGTCCCTTTATTCCCCAGCCTGTGCTGCCCTAACTAGGTGCAGCACCTTGCACTTGGTCTTGTTAAACCTCAGGAGATTCCCATGAATCCCAGTTCCCAAAAGGTCCTGTTACCACAGGTACCCTACTTCTGTAAGGCACAGCTTAATCACTGTAACCATGGTGGCCTGAAAGTCCTCACTTTCTTCCTCCAAGGCACTGGATTTCTCCTCCTCAGCTCGCTGGCTCTACCCAGCAGCTACCACCCTTCTGTATGCATGTGGGACCCAAGGCTCCATGTGCTTTCCACTCAGGTGAAGTTTTGGTCATAGGCTGCTTTTTGCAGAGATACAGTTAATTCTTTTTCCATTGGCTGGTAGGGGACTGTTGTGGATTTGTGCTGAACACAAGGCTGATAATACAGAGATGTTTGTAAATGTTTAAAAAATTATTTTTCATTTATTTTTTCTCTTTCTCAATTCTGCTGCCCTTCTTTTTGTACATTTTTCTCTTCACTCCTGGATTTCTCAGTCTCCTCTGAGCTGAGCTCCTTGGGAATATTCCCTCACAGGGAATCTTGTTTATCACAGTCCTCCAGGTCAGGACAAAAACTCCAAAGCCTGTTAGGATCTTGTTTCTTGTGTTTATTAGGATGTTATCACAAAACTTGGCATGTCTCTTCAGACTTTCTGCATGAGTTCAATTCACTGCAATCTGACTCATTTCTTTCTGATGGTACAAAATGGCCTTGTGGCTCACTTTGTGGCTTACTTCGGCTTTGAAAGCACAAAATGGCCCTGAACTACACAGTTCTTTTATCTTTATACTCATCCTTATCCAATTAACAATAGACACATGTATTATTTTTCTTAATGACCCAATGACCCATCACCCGTGTGCTGCACTGCGGCATTTTCTATCCAATCACCTACTATTACCCAAAAACCTCTAGAAGAAGAACATGAAGAAGAAAGAAGGAAAAGAAACAACATTCTAAATCCTCCATCTTGCCTTCTGCTTTCTAAACTATTTTAAACTCTTTTTCACCCAGTGACTTAAGAAACTCTCTAACCTACACACACTTTTAGCTTTTTCTATCTAACTTTAACAGTTGTTTTCATGTATCACCATGAAAACATACTCATAAATTTCATATTGTATGAAATTCAGTGTTTTTCTGGATCTCAGAGTATCAGAAACAAGCACACATACACACTCTGTGTCTCAGACTCCAACAATGTTCTTTTTATTGCTGAGGTTACAGAGAACCAAGGCCTTTTCTGCCCCTTGTACAGCCACACTGGGGAGGGGGCTGATGTGGGAGACTGTGAGAAGATGCAGCCAGGACAGGTGACCCCAACTGATCCAAGGCATATTCCAGATCGTGTGACACCACGCTCAGTATATAAAGTGGGCAGAAAAGGAGGAAAGCAGGGATATTTGGAGTGATGGTGTTCCGTCTTCCCAAGTCACCATTCTGCAGGATGGGGCCCTACTCTCCTGAAGGTGGCTGAACACCTCCCTGCCCATGGGAAGCACTGAATGAATCCCTGGTTTTGCTTTGTTTGTGTGCAGCTTTTGCAACACCTGTATAACTGTCTTTATTTCAACCCACAAGTTTTCTCACTTTTATTCTTCTGACTCCATTCCTGATGCACCTGTCAGGGACTGAGCGAGTGGCTGTGTGGAGCTGCCAGCTAGGGTCAAACCATGACAGTGCACGATGGGCTATTCTGTTTCCTGGAAGTGGCTGTCATCAGCTTAGGGCATCGTACAGCCTCCTCCCACACAGCTCATCCCCGCAGCCCCTGCTACCAAAACCTTGACTGTTAGCACGAACCACAGACACACTGCTCCATCTTTTGCTACTGTAACTAGGAGACCTGTCATGATAAAGAAAGAAAAACAAAAAGAGGACAAGAAACCACAGATTCCATAGAGAAACTGGCCTACAATTACAAGTTTTGCTTAGTCTGCCTTATGATAGACAAAATCTCAAGGGCTCTTGGCAAGAAATAGATTCTTATTTTGGAATATACAGTAAGAAAAACAGTGGCTGTCAAATTCAGGTAGACTTTTAGAAACAAAGGACAATAATACAAATACTGGTGGATCTGCCCAGGAGTAGATTTGACACAACCACCAAGGAGCCATCATCCAAGGGCAGGTCTGATGAGGCAAGTAAAGAGGATGACAGCTGGAGCTGACACCACAATGTGTTTTTGGTGGTTTTTGCCTCAAATTATAAGAGTTTCTTCCTCCAGTGCATACAGGATTTTGTACTCACTTATTTATCTGAATGACATACTGCTTCATTTCCTTCACTGCAATGTCAAGTTTGTTAAAAAGGTGCAAGTAGGAGTCCTGCATCTCCCAATCTTCCTGTTTCAGCAGAAAACTGAGTCCCCTTTCTTCCCGAATTGTTCCTCCATTCTGCTGGCCAAGGCTACCACCAGGATCTCCATCTTCTGGGGCTGGACATCTCCAGGATGGTGCAGCCATAGTGGTGATGCAATGCTGAGTATATGAGACTGGATTTAAGGTACCTACTAAACATTAAAGGATCCAGTTAGTATGGCTCTCATGACTTTCCCCATTCCATCCCAGTGATGATTGTTTAGGATAAGTGAAGTTTTAACAAGAAAAACTAACATTTCACAAAACAGTTTTATGTAATTACATTCCATGAAAAAATCATTCTGAAAAAAACCCAAAGAAGTTGGGCTTTTTTTCCTGGCATGCAACTAGATATTTTGAATTTACTGCAGTTCAGAAACTGGCTAAACTATGAAAGTAAAGACCTATGTCTACATGTATACTCATACAGACAACATAGAAGCTCTCTAAAAGCATTTGTTGAAAAGTTAATGAATCTGGGTTATCAGAAGTCAGTCCATGCTATTATTCCAGCTCTACAGACATTTACACTTACACACACACACATACATATAAAGGAATAGGATTCTGTCCTTACAGAAGATAAATTAATTCTTTTTCATTTAGAATTGCTGACAGTTTTGGTGCAGTACTTTGCTAACTACCTTAGCTCACATTAAAAATACTACTGCCCAAGCAAGCAGGGCTCCTTTATAGACCTCAATTTGAATAGTCAATGCCATCGTTCAGAAGGTTGGTTAGTCTATACTTCTCTTCCAAGAATTCCTGCACTATGACCTTCACAAGGCAATGAATCAGAAGCATGTTCAGTGAGATTATGGTAAAGGAATGTTGGAACTCAAATAACCAGATGGTAGAAATGCTGCATTGCAGCGATTTATCAGAAAATAGATGCCCTGACAGAGTAGAGACTTTCAACTCCAGTGCATGGAATTTATTTAGTAATGAGAGTAGAAAGCAGCACTACAATGTGATTGACTTCAGCTTTCCCCCTGAATGAAGCACTAGCACTGTCATCAGTCACTTTAGTCAGCAAGTCACCTCTACTAAGGGTAGCACCCCAGCCACAAAACTACCATGAGATCATGCCCAAACAGTTTAGCTAGCAAAAACACAGCACCTGAAGCCCCTCTATGCTTAAAGCCATTTCTTTTTCACAACACAAGAAGGCTTACATTTAACTATAAAATTTTAAGGAGGAAGAAAGGGTACTGTCAAGACTATGTTTCCTTGGAACTTATATTTGACCTTGCTGAGCAATGGAAAACCACAACTTTTTATACACATGAAATCAGTATGAAAGTTGAAAGTTAATTATCACCTTGCTCTGGATCAAGACCAATAATAGAAGGTTTCCGTCCAATGCGAATACTGAACGATCTCCCTGCTGAGGTAGAGCTTTTGGGGTATGATACCTCCATGAGGTTAATATGGCAGTTGGTGGGGCAGAAATCCATGCTGTTGAGAGAATGTGGTTCCATAACAGCTTGTTTGAAGGCTGGGCTCACCTTTGTTTTCAATTCATCTGCAAACTGGGAGAAATAAAGTAGGTGTGTGTTACTGCACACAAATTTGATGCAATACAGACAATTCTTTTCTCTTCCTGCCTCCTATTCCAGAAATCCAGGAATTCAGATTTCTGCTGCAGCTGGAATAACACATTCAAAAAAAGCTCATAAAACAACAAAGGAAAGCAATTAGCTAATTGCTTTCCTCCCAGCATCTCTTTTCAGGCAGCTCAGGTAACTGCACAAAAAAAGCACACTAACTTTGTTTGTTTACACCATGATACGCTGTAGTTACATTCATGTTAAATAAGACACACATCAATCTATTCTCATATTTATTCATTAATACAGTGGAAATGAACCTGCAACAATATGTCTTAATCCACATCTCCGACAAGCAGAAAGGAGTGATTTACAGACAAGGTATTTTTCACTCAAAACCTGCAATTTCAGTAACTTGCAGAGCTGTTCACATGCCTCCAAGACACCCACCCTGGAAACAGTTTGGATTCATTAACGAATACTAAGACCCCCTTAATACAATGAAGTATTGTCTCAAGACTTCACCAATAACTAGTAGTGCTGTACCTCTTGATAGCTCGTGAGCCTCTTGCTAATGCTCTCCAGCTTAGTGTCACAGATTTGTCGAAATTCATACTGGGGCATGGTGGCCACGGCACTGCTTAGGGATATAAGTCTTTCACAATTCCTTACAAAATGACTGTCCTCTGTAGCAAAGGCCTCTAAAATCTGAACAAAAAGACAGGATGTCAATGATATGAGTCTTGACAGGGAGGAAAAATAGTTTTCTTCCATTCAGTGAGTGGCAAAGCCCCATGGTTGAATGTTCTGTCTCCAGAACAAGCTGTCTTTATTACTGCCTGAGAGCTACTAGTGTGTCTAATCCTCAGACTCATATACCATTCCTTAAAACTGTTTAGAATCACGAAAATGGATCAAAATATCCACTGTCCAAGCTACCTGCTCTAGCATGCTGTCATGGGATGTAACAGTAACATTACTGGGATGTGACAAACATTCACTATTAGCTCATTTTTTCAGAGATGACCAAGCCACTCAGCACTCTCTGCTCCTTTCCAATAGCAGCAGTTCTACTCAATTCCTGTAGCAACCCATCCAGCCTCTTAGGTAGGAAAAAGCTGCTTGATTTTCTTGCAAGGTAAAGCAAATTCCTGCCTGAATAGATAGATCTTAAAGATCAGCAGAGTGTATGTTACCAGGCAGATCACAGAAAGATGGAGGGCTCCCCTCCATCTGCCTCAACAGCTGAAGTCCTCGAAGCACTTGCTGATTTGCTCATACCAAACAAGCTATTGTAACTCAGTGCATTCTAATGAACAAAACTCTAAGCAGGCTGAGAGGACCAATGTCAACCTCAACTGAAGAGCCAAGCCCACAGCAGCCAATAATAAGCTATATTATTCGTTTCTCATCCTGTTTAGGAACAAATCTGACTATGTATGTTTTCGGTACCTTTGCAGTGAGATTGAAGCAACCCTTTGGTTCCACAATTTTCTCCAGGACAAAGGATTTGATTCCTGCACTGCTAACATATTCATACACCACCCCATGCTCCAGGTGGGTGTTATCCACAGTCAGGCTGATGAGAGGAGTTTCTTCACCGATTACCAGTGGAGAAAGAACAGTCTGTGGTGTCTGGGCTGGAATCAAAGTAAGTCATTAGAGGTGTCTGGCAGCACATGTGAATACAGGCCTGCCCAGGCAAGAGAAATCTGCTGAGAAGAAGTATTTAATGCAGAGACACAATCTTTGGCTCAAGGAGTATCTTGAACTGTATGCTGCTGGAGACTGAGAGAATATTCTCAGGAAGACATTTGCTGTTGGCCCTTAATGGAGACAGTGACAGAGTTTTAGATAATACACATACTCCAGTCCCCATTCTGATACTCTTCCATGTATGTGTGCACATATCCATGCTCAGGACACTACTTCTAGTTCTGTTCTCAGATCCTAGCAGAAGCTTATAAAGGAAGGGATGTTAATCTCTAGGTCCTGTTGTCTGGAATAACCCTCCAGAAGACTGAGATGCGAGGGCAGGGATGTGGTAAGGAGGTAACATTTTTTACACAAAGCGATTCTGTTGTCACTACAGACCAGATTCAAGTTCCAGTCAGACTGAGATTTGCCAGGTAGTTGCTCACACATTTCTACCACTTCTACACTGCTCTAGCTGTTGCACTGCGGAACCACATTGTGTGACTGTGAGATTACCAGCATCTCCAGACCTTACATAGGATCTGCACAGAGGTGCATCTGTTCCTGAAGAAGCTGCCAATGACATTCAGAGAGTCTGGACTCAATCCTTTGGATTAAATTTTGCTTTAGCAGTCTCCCTTAACATCTACTTTTCCTAATAAGCCCTCAACATGAAAGTGGAACTGCATATTGAGCTATGCTTTCAAAAGTTGGAGGAAATACATCCACACCTTTTCCTGACACAGTGGTAACATGCCTTGAAAACTTGCTCCAGATTGAAGTAATTTAACATTCTAATGTTTAATCAAAAGTAACAGAAAGTCCAGATTATTCTAGGAGAAGCAATTTGCAGACCTTCCCTCTCTATCAGCTACTGCCCCTAAATGTGTGGTTTGCAGGGGCTACTAAAGGATTCTAAAAATGCCTAGTCTCCTCATTCCTGTAACTGGCTGTCTTGTAAAGAGCAGAGAGTCACAGGTGCATGGTTTCTATGGTTCCTATCTCAGTTTTTTCTTCCCCTGAATAAACTGCAGCAAAGAAATACTTCCTCTGGCAGACCTCATTCAATCAAAAAGCTTTGCTAAGATAAGAGATATTCTACAATAATAACTATACTCTTTATTTCTACTGTGGTTTTCCCTCTGAAAGCCCCTGAATTGTCCCTAGGTTTTCTTTCCCCACGAGAATCTTTACCTGATTCCTGCTGGCTGCTTTGAAGGGACTCCAATTCTGCATATCCTTCTAGTGCAGAGTTGTCTTTGCTGGAGCCCGGGTGACTGCCACTCAGACACACAGGGGATGCTGCTTGCTGAACTCTGTCCTCTTCAGCATCTTCATGTGTTCTGTACACCCACTGGTACAACCCCTTTCAAGAGATATAGGCTTCAGCTAGGACCTCAAAATGCCAAATCTCCAAATATTTGGACTACAGAGATGAATCTAGCCATCAATTCTGTATCTTCTAAGTAGGATGAAATACCAACATTCCCCAGCTTTTCTCTGAACTTCAGAGAACATAAAATTTAGATCAATAGCTGCGTAAACTTCTATGGTTTGTAATAATTAATAATTTTCAGTATTGTATGCATGAAATGGCTTTCATATTATTTGTAGATGTTTTGCAACTATGGGCAAATGGAATCAGGTCCCCTCAGTGATAGCAGGACCCTGGCATAGAAGGAAATGAGTCAAAGCAAACATGTAGATGTTCTTTTTCTGAATATTTAGTGAGCATAAAAGCACAGGGAAAAGGGGAGCGCAGAAGAAGGGCAGGAATTAATGTACTTCCTTTGAGGTTGTGTGTTCATACCAGTGCTTCCTGCTGCCTGGTCCTATAGGCTGTGAAGTGCTCCAGAACTTCCTTGTAATTTCCATGTGTTGCATTATTCCCATTAACTTTCAGAATACACTGCCCTGGATGAAGACCTACGGCTGCAGCCTCAGAACCTGAGAAATAGTAGGAGAGAAGTTAGACAGAAATGCCATCTGCCCATGGATGAGAATACTGGAAAGATTGCAAAAGCTTTCTGGTTAGAAAAAGTAAGAAGAGCTGGGTCAGTCCTGTCATGCCTTTGCTAACTAAGCCTTTGCTACTATTCAGAGAGCTTTGTTGTGTAAGGATAACATCGTGTGTCTATCCTTTGTGTTTTCAGCGTTGATGGGAAAAACAGCAATCTCCTAGATCTAAATGCATTCATGCTAGAAATTGACATTTCTGTGGGAAATTGTTTGGGATTTTTATATGGTTCTCTGTTAGCCTTATGGTTACATTAGCTGCAGTCTTGCTTAAGTACAAACTGTTATATTTGTTCCAGCCTCTTGCACCTGGAAGACGGGACACTTGCATGTCACACAATTTGTCACAGACAAAGACTATGATGTCAAATGTAATTTGTCTTTTCCAGGAAAAATCCCAATAAAGGACAATCTTCCTAGTTGCAACTTCCAGCTTGTAATCCAAACTGTGAAAAAGTGGTTCTAGGTGCTGCTATGAAACAGTGCAATAAATGCATGTCCTTAGGCATGCCACGTGTGGGTGCTGCCTAAGCTAACTGCACTCAGCTGAGACACACATTTGTTCTGAAGGAAGTGGTGTATGTCTAAAACGTCATATTTTCTGCACCTGCTTAACATAAAGGTTAAAGCTGTGCTTTACTTGTAGCTCAGTTAATATGTCAGGTACAGATGTAGTAAATATCTCTGTCAAATTGTGTGTTCTCCCTTTAAAAAGTTCAAGGAGAGCAGTCTGCCTCTGTCTTATGCTGGTAATTTGTAGCAGTATATGCCAGTGTAAAGGGAGAAGTAGTCTCCAAGTCTTATGTCATACTTTGTGATGTATGGATTGTGTTGACCTGTCTACTAAGCTGCTGATCCTACAGCACCTTCAGAACCCAGTGACCCAAACTGTGGATGACAACAGGCAAAAATACTGAGCGAGCAACAGACAGCATTACCCCTCAACTTTTTCTCAACCATCTCAGTTTTATGGTTTTTTTTTTCCCTGTGGCTGTTAAGTTTTACCCTAGTAGTCTCAGAAGAAACAAGGGTAAGGTCACTAAGCAAGTCCATTTCTAGCTTGCAAAAGCTAAAGTGATAATGTCTTCTAAAGAGTCCATGGTACTGTGCATTTCAGCATTCAAGTTTCTTCCACTGTGGAATTAAATTATTCCTTGTATTCTGTTGATGGGATTAGAGACCAAACACTCAGTTCATAAGAATAACACTGCTTGTCTTAGATTCCATTTAGATGATAAGCAGTTTGAGGCATCACACATTGTTCTATGATTATGTCAGTGTGATTCTCATCTATCACAGGTTCTTGTCATTGTGGTCACTAAATTTGTAAGAACTTGCATAGAACAAGCTGGACAATGAAACCTGAAGCTGTCTTTGTTAATATATATACATACACACACTTTATACAGACATGTCTGTCTATTCAGCTGTACTACCAACTTAACTGTACCACAGTTTGTACTTACCTCTTCCTACTGCGTGAACATATGGTGGTGCTGCTCCCCGGATCTGAAAGCAAAGTGCTTCAGGACAATCTGGGATTTTAATAATCCTGCAGATAAATCAAGGAGAAGAGAAAACATGATTTTAAATTAGGCTGACAGAGTTCTGGGCAGCATCTTTCCTTGGTATTCACAACTGGGTTTGGATGAAAGAAAGCATCAGCAGTTTTAACAAATAAATAACAAATAAACAGACTTGCAAAAATATACTCCATCTTCAATGTCCAAGACAGATGGGAGATTCTATTTGCTAATTAAATTTGGCACTTCGTAATTTATTGCATCTTTAAGTGAACAACACTTGACAGTAACTTTCTGAAGCATTTATATTCACTTCAATTTCTATGCAAACTTCAGTGAAGGTGTGCTGACCTATACCAGCAGAGGATTTTTTTCCCCACTAAAAAATTTTAAAAAACAAAACAGACTGGACAAGACATTCTGGACTAGAATTCAGCAACAAATGTTCACTGAGACATTGAGTTCTATGGCACATTCTATACAGAATCTTATAATACACAAGACACTAACAGGGCCAACTCTCATTAGAAGAAACGGTACGAGACTGAAAAACTCTAAGGGTTATATTTTTATACTCATCCAAAAATAACTCAAGTTTTAATGGGTGGAAATAGTTTTCCCATGCACATAATAGAGTGTGAGAAGCTTCACAGCTAAGAAGGAATGTCAATCCTTGTGATTCAGTTTTGTTTGTGCACAAGGAAACCAAAAGTTGTCTGCAGTATAATGGGAACACAAGCCAGCATCTCCTGGCAGCTCAAGGGTCATCACTAAAACAAGCTGTGACTCATGTACCTCTCATTTCTGTCATGTTTTCCTACTGAGTGACTTCTGCTTTAAACAGCGAAGTGCTTACACAGGTTTCACTACAACTATAGAAGTACTTCTTAGTAACTGACATTTCTCAATAATCTTCTCTCTCTGCCCCTCTTGGCACTTACTCTTTTGATTTGGTGGCTACCAGAAGCCTAAGTGGCCTTCGTGAGCAGAAGGACTGGGATAAGATGGTTTCCACCTCAGCAAACGGGCGGAGGAATACTAAATCCTCATTGATGGAATAGATTTTTCTTCCTGCTTGCAGGCCAGCCATCTGCAAAGGGAACAAACACCACAGAGCACCTTAGATCACTGGCAGCAACTCTGAAAGCTCAGGCTTCAAGGTTCAACTGTTCCCTACTTATGGACATTCCTAGGATTACTTTCACATAGAATACTCTGTAAGTAGTGTTTGTTCACCAGGTCATTTGTCACTCCCCCTTAAAGTTTTCTGCATTTATAGAAACAAAGAGATTTCACCAGTATCCTTAGAAATACGCAACTCTACCGATGGATCTTAATTCTCAATGGATAAATCTTAGTACTTTTATTACATTATTATATTATACTACAAATTTTAAAAGGACTTTTAAAGAAGGAGACTATAAAAAAACAAGGGCGGGGACACAACTGAAAACTAGGGCCCATAAGACTGGCTGTGATACCCAGTGAGATGCAGACTTCTCACACCTTGGGCACAGGAGCTGTGGACAGTTTTCAGTGATCAGCCTTGCAAAACCAACCTATACCCAGTCACATCAGTAAATGTAACCTGGTTTGGAGTGGTGATAAAAACTGTCTCTGCTTTAAGTGAAACACTAGCTCTTCATCAGCCTAAAAAGCCGTAAGATTTTGATTTTAATCCCTAGGTTTTGCACCTAACTTTAGTTATTTGGCAATGGCCAGATCCAATGGCAAGACTGAGATGGCCTACTCTGCCCACTGGACAATAGCCTCAAACATACCCCTTGATGATCTCTACCAGTTAAAATGTAACACAGCAACATCTGGACTAGGTGTTAGGTATCAAGTAATCATTAAAAAGATTATTAAATATTCCAGATTAGAATTCATATAACTTCAAGGTTCAGCAGTTGGGTTTCCTTCTAAATGTGGCAAACCCTTTTCTATTCTGCCTAGAATCTACTGACAAGTTTCTTGACTTGAAAAACAGAGGTCCACACAGCACTACTCTCACATACACTCTGTCTCAGGGAGATGCAGATTTAGTTCTTTGCTGGACAAGTATTATTAGAGCAAGTTCAAAAGATGGTCTCATAGTCAAAATTATCTTGAAAGATCAAGAAAAAAATTTTTTAGAAAATGGTGTGCTGCCATTGTCCTCAGACACAACAGATTTTCAGGCTATTCCCCAAGCTTCCACCCAAAAAAAGGGCAGAGGATTATCTGGCAAGCAGTGGTTCACAGCACAGGTTTAGAAAAATAACATTTTTGTGCAACTTATGTTGATTTTGAGCACTAGATAAAGCATAGGATTGATTTCTTTGGTGACCAAAAATCAAATGAGAATCAGGAATACTGAAATAATTTCATTCTAACACTAAACTTCAGTTCAAAATTCCTTCCCGTGTGATATTCTCAACTTGCTAAAACCAGTCTGTCCACTTCAGCTATTTCCATTAAGCAACTTACCCAGGAGTTACTTGTAGTCCAAAGGAGTAACCCACAAATTTAAACGTGGACATGCAAAAATTCTGTAACAGTTGTCCAGGACTTTTAATTAGAACCTCTGTCCTGTGTGTCACCACAATTTACTGTGTAACCCTTGACAAGTCATTTAGTCCTCTCTTATCTTCATCAGTTTATCTGTGCCTTATTTTGTTAAATGGAAGATCACACTGTGTTACCCACATAAGGATTCTGTAGGGCTAAATGGGTGATTAAGAAATGCTCAGATCCTATGACATTTGGGCCATCTATGTGCTTCAAAGAAACAAAGCAAATACATTCTGTAGAACTCCTAAAAAATAACATGGAAAGAAATGACTGTGTGCTTTTTAAGGGGAAAATACAAATCTAAAAATACAGCTTTCACTCAAACAAACATGTTTGCTATGTTTGCTATCCCAAAAATGTTACTTTCCCATCATCCTTCAAGTTGCTAAGGAACCTGAAGGTAAGCTATCATCACGCAGATACTGCTCTCGTCCTATCACTTACCAACCATATTCAAAGTCCCCCAGTAATGTCGAAACACTTGTCAATTTACAGAAATAGCTTATTATCAGGAATTGTAGAAGACAGCCATCTTCTATTAGCTGCCTTTAAAGGAAACAGATTTTAAAAGGATGGTTTGTAACTTTTCTAAGTATTGAAAAATTCTTAGATACCAAAATGTGAATGCAAGGTCCTACCTCGGCAGAAGACTCTCGTCTAACTGACTTCACCACAATTGCTTTGTTCTTTTCTTCTATGTCAAATCCATAGTCATCTTCTTCTGGTAAAATCTTAAACAGAGCACAATATTTACACATATTTATGCTTCATAAATATGGAATTCACAGAAAAGGTGAAAACTGGAGATGAGAAATTAGACTTTTCATTGCAAGCCACAACTGATCTGGACTTCTGTCTAAAGATGGAAAGGGACTACCAGATCATTTGGTCTGATCGCCTACACAACATGAGCCATAACATTTAATCTTAGTTATTTCTGCACTGAGTCCTTAATATATACTAAAGCAGATTTTCCAGAGTTACTCAGGTATGATCTGCAGTCTTTAAGAAGTGAAGAATCCATTCCCACCCTTGAGAGTTTGTTCCAATGGTTAATCAACTCTTCTTTTGGAAATTGCATTTGGTTTTAACTCCTAGCCCTTCATCCTTCAATAGATTTCTCACGTTTAGATTATGGAATTCATCATTATTCAGTCATTTCCATTGGTGGACGTACTACAGATTGAGTGTAGTCATTTGTTTATTTTTTGGAATACATCCCACCTACCTGATAATGAATCACCTGAGTGCTTCTCAGTTTCAGACAAATTGCAGATCTCAGGCCCACCTGTTACAAATCTAACTACACATACATAATTCTACAGCATAATGGCAGCTGATGGCAAAAATTCTATCTGACCAATGAGAGAACAATTCCTGACATCCATAAGTCCTTCCTCTAGAGACAGGCACATAGGCTTTGTGTAAGGGAAAGAACACCAGCTCCAAACCCTGTGCTCAGTTTGTATCTTATGTGGTAGACAGAAGCCTTCAAAATTCTTGGTCCTGAATTTCTGCTTCCTCTTGTTTGCACTGAGGTCACACAGACCTGCCTTGCACATATTCTTTAAAATCATATCAATCATGACAAATATACATTTCACTCATCCTTTTCTAGCGGTTTATTAACAATGATTGAAAAGCTTAACAACTCACTTCCCATTACAGAAAATTACATCACACCTAACAACTGGTAAAAGGACAAATGGAAAGTCTAACTGATAAACATCTTGCATTTGAGTAAACATTGTGTATTTAAGAACCATCAGATAAACCAGAACTGATTTAAGAGGAAAAAAATAAAGCTACTCATAATCTAGCACGTCATGGGGGAAAACAAATTACTCAGAATTGTTTCCTTGCTTCTGATGATTTTTGCACTATTTTAAAATACTGTCCTTTTTCCTTTAAAGTCAATTCCATCAGATTATAAATGTTGTCCTTTTACAGGAAATCACCTTGGGAAAAAAAAATCAAGAACTAGAGTAATTCTGTCCTGCAGGAGCCATACCGTCAAGTTAAAGTAAGGTATGGCAAAATATCTGGGGAAAAGTCCTTATTCAGGTGATGTTCAGATTAGAGGATGCATAAGAAAGTAAAAAGACTGAAAGGTAAGTTTTCCGTTTTTGGCTATTTTAAAGTATTTTTAGAAACAATGTTAGTAATGCTTCTCCAACAAAGGACCTTAGAAAATTAGGTAAATTGCTGGTTAGATTTTTAATGCTGCAAGTGGAATGAGCTTCAGCCCAACACAACATGTACTTTTATCACTTCATATCTGGGATTCAATGGAAAATGTCTAGGCTACCTCTCCTCTCCAATTTGCACTTTACATTTGAAGGGACTATTCAAATTCTACTGTTGAATTTTGAAAGCATTTGTGAAATAGACATTTAAAAACCTGGAGGCTTTGATTTGCCCAACTTCAGCTGCCAGCAGCTACACAACCTTACCTATCTCTTGGGGTGCAGCCATCATTTCTGTGCATGAAGGTCTTTTACTTGCTATTATTTTTAATAGCCTACCTTGCTCTGATCATTGGTACAGCAAACATGAATTGTTTGAAAGCAAAGAACTAAAACATTTTAAAGAAAACCGATGTGCATCAACATTAAAAACTTCCTGTGCTGGAGACACCCCTTATGAAAAGGCAGACTATACTAAAATATTCCATTTGCAATACCTGGAGAAGGCAATGATTCATTCTTTATTATGAAATAGGAACACCCTGCCATTCCACAGCTGAACCCCATTCATCCTTGGGGAGTCCAAAGCTATTAACTAAATTGCCACCTGCAAGAACTATTTCTACGCCCCTGAAGCCCAATCCCTTTTTGGAATGTAAGGCAGCAGCTGTTTAGTCTTGAGAGACAATCACATTAACAAACGAGACCATTTTAAAAACAAGCATGTTTAATCAAAAACAGAGGGCAAATGTACTCAGAACACATGCAAAGAAAATTTTGGCAGGGGCAAGGGAAATGGGATCTGCAGAGATGAAAAGGTGTGCCAAGAATGGTCTATTACACCTGACTCACACAGCAGCAGGACCTCTCATCCTGTCCAGTGGGGATACTGACACTGGAAGAGGCAGCACAGCAGATCAACCACCATTGCCTGAACCTGGGTCCAGGATGCACATTCTCCTCTCACATACTTCCCTACACACTCCAGCAAAACCCTTCTCTGTTGGACACACCTGAACAGCCTGACTTGGGTAATAATCTCCTCAGAAGCAGTGACTTATCAGACAATGTCAGATCTGAGCATTTCAGAAAATTGAGGAGGTTTCTTTGCCTAACTAAAAAGTCAGAGCTATAGAAGTTGGAAATACACAGCAAAGCAGATCAAGAATTAGTAGCATTTATGCAGTGAAGAAAAACCTAGCCACACATGCAATTGCCCATTTTAATTCTACTCCCTCATTATACTCCTCTACTATAAAACAATATTATTTGAGCAAAAATATGAAGGTTTACATTAACATGTTTCTTACCAGAAGATTCTTTGCCAGGATGTTTTCCACGAGCTTGAAGTCATTACGCAATTGTTTGCTCTTGGAACTGGTGCCCTCCATCTCCTCATCAGCATAAAAGCGGAAATATAAGGATTCATCCTTAAACTCACTTTTCTCCAATACTGGAAATGATATATATGAAATACATACATGCATTTACATTGAGATTAAAAGAGAGAAACAGAGAAGAAAGCTAAAGAAAATCCTAAATATTTCCCCAATCTTTACAGAACACAGATCAGATGCATCTCTATCAGTCAGTTCCTCAGGTCTGTTTTTTCAAGCTAATTCTGTATTTTAGGACAATAATTTTCTTCACAGTGCATAGTAGCTCATGATATGATGTGAAATCATATAAAATGCAAAAGATCCTCTTGGAAAGAAGATGCTACCCAAAACCTCACACTCTCTTCCTACATCCAAATGAAAATGGTAAAACATAAAAGGAGCAAAGAGCAGTAAAGGCGATATTTGAAAGCATGTAAGGTGTCCACACAGACTAAGGCTCAACCTTAAAAAAAAAAATTGAGAAGGAAAAAAGATCTACAAAATACCCAAAGTCATGAAAAAATTCTTAACCAGTTTTTCAAATATGACACCTGGGGGCTTCAAATAAAAGCAGCAAGTGATGAGCAACTCCTACAATCAATATCTACTTATGATAAGGTCTTCCTTGGCAAAGGATGCAATAAATGCCAGAAATTTGCACGGGCTCTGAACAGACCAAATTCTTTAAAAATTACCCCAACTATTCTTACATTATTATTAACTACTATGCAAGTTCTCCATTAGTTATTTACAATAATCTGATCTCAGAAATGCTATTCAAAATACAGTGAGTAAATGTTATCTATGACTAAAACTGCCTGTTTCATTTGACAAACTATGTCTGCTCTTAGGACTTGCATATTCTATTTCATACTGATACAGATGTGATTTGTTTACTTCCCCTGTTTAAGGAAAGATGATGTCTAACTTGGCAATTTGGCACTTCAGATTTGGATGCCTCAGCACTGAGGACTGTGTTTGTTATCCAAGAAGCAAGAACTAGGCAATTTTACTTAACAACTGATGTTTTTGTGTTTCAGGCCAGTATTTGGCTTCTGCATTGCTCAGATGGCTCTGGAAGAGATGCAGTGAAAAACCTGCTCCTTCTAGCTTGCCTGATCCCTTCAGTGCTTGCCATAGCTATCAGCAAGGGGCTTCCCTCAGGAAGGCACCAGGCTCAGCCATGTATTAGCCCCAGGACTGTGTTCTGTGTTTGAAGGACCTGCAGAGATGCCTGCAAACCATGTACTCAGCATGTATGGCAGAGCCTAGAAAAGCTAATCTGACTGACGTAAGAGCTCATTTCACTGGCTGGGGGAAGCAAAATTGATCATTACCATGATGCATGAAGCCGTTATTGCAGAGTCCTACACCCAGTGTGACAGCTTCCTCCCGAGTTTGACAGTCTCCCTAGGAACAGGAAAATAATGTTATACCTCAGATGATTTTCTAAGCTAAATTATTCCCCATTCCCCACTGCATAACTTGTAGCTCTGAAATGAACAGGATGATCTGTGCAGAGAACAGCAAGCCATTAAAACAGATATCTCATTACCCACTGTTTGCTCCTCCAGACAGCATCTCCCCCTCCTACAGGAACCAGGGGAGCAAGGACCAGCACTGGGGAAAGATACCATACTATCTCAGTGCAAAGATTTTTTACCTGAAATCAGAGTGCTGGACTTCAGGGCTCATTACTCACAGACAACAGAACTCCTTTGACACTGAGAGATCCCATCCATACTCAGCTCAAGGGAGAAAAAGCTAAGTATGTGAACTCCAAGGGTCAGACAGGTTAAAACTACAGTGGCAGTTTGCTTACACAGCACATTACAAAGGTTTCAGTTTCTCTCTATCTGAAGTGCAGTCATTCAAAACAGGTACCAAAGGTGACTTGCAAATTTACAGACTTCCCTGAAATGGCAGCCTTAACCTTTACATCTACAACTCAGTTAAATACAAGAAATGCCTAGTTTTCTCGATGTATTTGCTAATTTGCAGCCACAAGTGAAGACTTTACAAGCACGGCTGTACTTTTTAGGCAAACAAGTAAGCTTTAAATAGTGCTGGTAAAAATCAGAAAGCACTACTGGTCTTACAGAGATTGTTAACACTGGTCCCTTGATGTGAGATGAGCAAAGGAGAATCTGGTGTCTGCTGTCTCAGTGACGGCGACTGCTCAGCTCATTCCAGCAGGAAGGGCACCTGCTGCTTTAGCAACAGAAGCAATTTCAGTCTGTTACTTTCAGTCCTATTTAGCGAGAAGTTGTATCCTACACAAGTATTACACCTTTTCTCCCCTCCATCTGAAGAACTAGATACCCAAAAGCTCTCACAGTAGCTATAGGGAAGTGTACTGACTTTGTTTTAAGCAACTAAGCACCCTCTGATCTTGTCAGCAGAAAATCAGTCCAACTTCAAATCCTGCTAAGGTGAGCAGTAGTTATTTGCCAAGCAAACGCTGGCAAAGCCCATCACTACAGTGTATCAACATTATTTAAATACAGGATAAAACAGGATTAGCTCTGGCCAATCCACAGCACTACTAGCTTTTATTAAAGAGGCTAAGAGCAGAAAATGCACAACATTTACAAATTCAGAACTAAATACTGTTGTCTTGGTAGAAAAGGGATCAAGGCAGTTCTGAAAGAATTGTGTGACTATGTAATCACACAAGGAAAGCCAGGAAAATAGCTTTAAAAAACTGGAAGTTTAACCTTTACTATAAACTGATTTCAAATCTTCTCAAGTCTTCTCTCATTTTCAACATCCTGTCATGAGACAATGCTCAATGCTCACATTGTGTTATTTTATGGGATAAACGGGTAGTTTACTTTATAGAGACTGGGATTTAAAAATCCAATTTATTCTTTCAACTATAAATAAACTGGAGGAGAAAAGCCTTCTAATGTTACCATCTTAAACCTTTAGCAGTATATGTTTGCTCAAGGCAACAAAATCTTTGCATAGGAAGGGTCTAAACCAGACTTGGGTACTCCTGATGATGTTACCTTGGCCTCAAAACATTCCCCTAGCAAAACACCATTCTGTGATTAGAAAATATAGCTTTAATTCTTTCAGCTCACTTAGTACTTCTAAATGGTATGTAGGTGTTTGTCCAAATACAATAAAGGCAGTAACAAAAATTTTCAGAAAACAGAGCCATTTACAACCATCAATCTTGACAAAATGTGTCAACCTTTTCATACAGAAACTAGATGTGAAACTAGATACATTAGTTTTGACGTGATAACTTAGGTTTATTCCATACCATCTCTCCATTTTGAGTCATCAGAATTACAGAAACAGTTTACAGTCAGTACCACATGCTTCAGAAGAAGCATGTCCAGAGCACATTACTATTACTCTTACTACTACTACCACCATTACAATTATGATTATTATTATTGCTGTCTGGTTTTGGTAATGATGTCATGTCTAAAGCCCTAATCATGGTGGCTGGTTGCTTTGGGATGTGTAAACCCAGCAATTAAGATGGTCTCAGACCAAAACTGTTTACAGCTCCCTTGGAGGAGGAAAGAAAGCAGATGCACACAGGTAAGAACAGCAACTAAACCACTCTTCAATTTTCCACTGATACATTGAAAAAGGAAAGTTTTAAGACTATGAAGTGCTTCTCAGCAAAGAGAGAATCTTAAACTTTTCTTACCTGTGCAATAAGCCAGTCCACTAGTTTACTTGCAGGGATTACTGATTTGTATGTCTTTAGGTGGTGGTCACGATCTCTAATTAAGAAAGAGAATTCAGGGAATTCAGGACAGAAATACATATATTTCTTTTACACTCTAAATCTACATATACTACTGTGACCTACTACTAATAAGAAGCCATCTTTTCTCTCTGGAAAGTTTTAAACTTTTCTAGCAACTTGAATTAGGAAAATACTTCAGATCAACACAAAGCAGTGTTATTTAAAATTTCTCTAGATGTTCTTTTGAGCCATCTTCAAGGAGCTCACAATCCCACCAGAGGCAATCAGAAGATTCATTTCACAGGTGTCCTATGCTGCTGCTGTAACTCAGGTTAGAATACTGCCACCAGCAGTTCCACTAAAAATCACACTCTTCTGGCTGGAAACCATCCAAAATCCATTCATGTCCAGCTTACATCTTTTGGCTCAGAACCAGTCCCATCTATAAGCTCCAATAATTCTTCTCTAGTGTTTACCTATTAATGTACTCATAGACAGGGACTCTACATACACATTGTGTAGACTCTACACTCTGTGCCTCCTTTTTGTGAGGCTCGTGGAATTAGGCAGCTTTTAGTCTATTTTGTCAAGAGAGATTTTCCACACTAGTTCAGATTTTACTTCCTTTAGAAAAATATCACATAGTAGCCAGACACAAATAGAATACACAGTATCCTTTTATGGAATTAGATAATTTCAGCCACTGTAAATAGGAAGGGATATGTTTAGTTCTTATAACACAACTGGCACCAGCTCACACCCAGGCCTTGCAGAGAGCAGCACTGTTCCTGCAAGAAGGAAAAGGAACCTTATAGTAACTTGACACTTTTTGCAGTTTTCTTCCATTTCTCTTCTCAAAGCCATGGAGATAGTTGATGGTTTTAGCCTTTAGTGAAATATTTCTAAAGAATTTTGATATAAATATGAGAAGACTATGTGGCTCAGGACATTGAGCTCTAACACCTTTCACCTTCAAGGTCACTGGATTTAATGCAGTTTGGAAGAGCATAAAAGCCATTTTAAGGCTGTTTATTGGCCCATGTGAAATAAGTTTCACGGTGTTGATCCAGTTCCTAGTTCCACATCACAAAAGCCATTACCACAATTAATTTGCATTAATTTGCTCCTTCTCATTGAGAGTCCCAGCAGAGAGGCCAAATGCTGAATGGGCTATGAAGAACTAATTCCTCTCTCACACTTGGGGGTGGTCCTTGCATTTGAAGCTTGAGCTCCACTGGCATGACTGCAGAAGGAAGCACAGCCTCTGGGGCTGTTTCACAGTCTGGATGGATCCATGAGGCAGGTCAAGGCAAAACTTTATTTTTCAGTTCTGTCAAATCAGCCTCTTTCATTAGCACCACACTGTCTGATACTGCCTTTGTCCCTAAAAATCTAATATCCAAACACCATCTAAAACCCATCCTACACAACCTTGTTCCTTTTACTAATCATCCACAGATACAAATATATTTTGACTGGCTTTTGTAAATAAATGCAGCAGAAATGTCTCTGTGTTTGCAGAATGCAGGGTGTGAGAAATTAGAAAGAGAAGTGGGACTTGGAAAAAAACCCAACAAAACATGACAGCATTTCCAGAAATATGTGTCCTCACAAAAAAAGCCTTCCTCGTAGTGCTTACACATAGTTTTCAACTTGTCTTCCAGTAATGTGCTAAACCCAGCAAAAATCTGTAGGAGTTTTCTGGGCACTTTTTCCCTCTCACACACTTTTCTTGGGAAGGTGTGCTTTTGAAATGTCAGCACAATAAAGGAAAACATTAAAATATTGAACACTAATGAGTAGGGGGTTCCAGATGAGAATTCCCAAAACTTTCCTAGAGATGCTGACACTTTTGAATAAGTTGCCATCAATCCTGGTCCAAGGCCCAGTCTTTCCCTGCTTGCAGGTCAGTGCTGGTCAGGATCAATGTTAGTTTAACTCTCTTTTCTCCCCACTTCAATCTGCTCTGAACAGGAGCAGAACATGAAACACAGAATGTTATCCAGAACCACGAATTTCAGGTGAATAGTCAAATACAGGGGTGGGAACCACTGAAATTTTGGCAGAACCTTGCTACCTCACAGAAACTGGAAGAATAGAATATTCTTCACAGGGCCTAGTCCAGTGATGCACTGACACATTGTCCACCACATACCTAAGTGGGAACAAGTTCTCTCACCTCACAACTTCCCAGAGGTACATCAGAGACACATTCATAATTTTCAAAATGTTTTACATTTTATACTTCAATCCCCAAAGTAGCATGATTTGTTTCCAGTGCTGTATATCATCTTGCTGTCAAAGTACTAGCATGTCAGTTTTCACTTGAGGAAAAATACAAAGGCAAAGACTACTGGAAACTCCAAGGTTTCCAGGGAATAAAACTAAGTAGAAATGTATCTCAAGGTTGTCAACAAAACCATTTTGCATAAGTAATTCCTCCAGATCCCTGTGGCACATGTACCTGCTACTCCAAGCAGCTTTGCCAATTTTCTAGAAGGAAGACTGTAACTGAAAAGACAGCATGAGTGAAGGGATCAGCAGTCCTAAGATGCCAGATAAAGCAGTGATCCAAAGACACGGCACAAAGCAATGGGCTTTTGCACAACTAACTTAGCAAAAGCTAGCGTCCTTAGGCTAAGGTAAGGCTTAGCAGAGGCAAAAAGTCATGATAAGAAGACACAGAACAATGACAGCCTGAGAGATTAAGTTTTCTAACATGGCTATCAAAGGAAGAATGAGTAAGAAAGAAAATGGCAGGAAGAAGAGCCTAAACATACTGAGAATTAAGTCCATTCAGAAGGATTCTAAAACTTCTGAGAGTTTGGTACCTTTCATTGATTATACAGAGCTTGTGTTGACGATGTCACTAGCAAGGATCAATCCTGATATGAGAAGATTCTCCAGCTGGGAAGCTATTACAAAAATAGCACATTGACAAAACACCACACCACAAGATGGGCCTGTGGGAGTTATTTTGTCCTTGTTGATTTCCTTAATTATTATAAAAGCATTAGATTAATTATTATAAAGCATTAGAGTAGATCCACTTCAGTTTGTGGGTACCATGAGGTCAGGTACATTTTTTGAACTTCATGTCCCATCATTTCTACTCTGCATATGAATTACCATCTTCAGGGGTGAAATGTCTATGTGCAAATACACACACATCTACAGAACCATTTTGTCTGCCACTGGCAGCACCATGCTTTCCTGCTCTCTCCACACCTTTTGGGCAAAGTGAAATCTGCCACTGTAGAACAGTTATTCTGGGAGAAAAGCCCAGAGTTCTAATGATGCAAATTTATGATTTATGAACTGTAACTGTCATTGCAGCTCCTTTTAGCATGACAGTGGCATCTCTCAGTGAAAATTCAGTTGTACAACTCATGGATAAGAGGTCAGTTTTGTTGAATTCATGAATCCAGCCATCTCCACTAGTGGTTTTTCTTTCTCATCAGTTTTTTATTTGTAAAAAAATAAGTTCTCCTAAGTGAAAATGCCTAATCTTCCATTATAAATACCTAATCAGAACAGAGTTCAAGGTGGTTTCCATTACAGGTCAGAAATGTTCATCTGATGCCACAGTAAGGTAATAATATCTGAAAATCGTCTCCTGGGCTCTGGGAAGAGAGTTACCTAGCATTTGCAGACTATCTCAGTTCTTCAGTACTTATTTATACAGAGCAAAGTTCTTAAGATTCCACACAAAACTTCCAGGGTTTCCTCAAATGACAGCTCCAGCTTTTATTCTACTTCAGACTGGCTTTTGTTTGTTTAGGGTGCTCTGAATGACAGAATCCTAGCACCACACTGGAATATCCGTTTACATCACTTCAGCATCTATTGACATTTTCTATAACCCAAATAATACAGCAACTACAATCCCCACCACATGATCTGCCCCGAATCAGAGTCACAGTAACCATACCCAGCTGCTCACTCCCCGTGAATCCCCAGTGCCAATATCCTCCAGCAGCAGCACTGCAACTACAGATCTAAGCCGTGGAGATGCAAGGGCATTAAGAGAGCCAAGAAAATTTAGAAAATTATTGTTTATAGTAAGAAACAAGATTTCAATAGTAACATCATCCTTTTAACAAAGCCAGATAATAAACACAAGGTGATCACGAAGAGGAACTTACTTTACCACGGGAGTATACAGGCAGTGCAGTCGGCAGTACAGCCTCACCCCCTGAAGAACAGAAGATGCAGAGTGTTAGCAGCTTCTTCCTTTCCAAAGAAACACTGACTAGCTAATGCTAATAAAACCTGGACACTGATGTCTCTACTCAGCTGGAATTTTCTATTGATTAATACTGATACTCAAAACAGTTCCTTTAGCCTCTCTGTAAAACATTCTTCTTTCCTGGCTTTCAACAGCATGAAATATGTTTTTACCTCTAATTACCTCTGACACCTTCTCCATTAATTCTTCCTCACAATTGTCCCATTAACCAATGTCCATAAGAAAAAAAATTAAATTTATTAAAAGGTATGTGGACATATACAGGATCAACAGAATTCATTTGACAGACAATTATTAGGAACAGTTAAATATTTATCTCTTCTGTCCCCCTGAACCATCATGCCCAGATTTGGAGCAGACATGTTACCACCTCCTCTTTTAAGACCTTTTGTTACTCTGTTGGGATTGCAATCAGCAGTCTTGGATGCAGTCACAACAGTATTGCTGTTCGTTGCTAAACTCTGCTTCCTCTCCCTAATGTGAATGTCTCCTGTGGCATTGGGATGGACAGCCCAGTACAACACGGATCAATGGCAATCTCCCACACAACAGGTCACTGACATTCAGAGGGAGAGCAAAATTCTTGATGCAAATCACAAAGTTCCAACTAAGAACGATAATACAAACCTTGGACACGATGTCTTCCAATTCACTTCTTGGCTTGTATGTTCCATCATCATAGCGAAATCTGTACATCACCTGTTCATTCTTAAACTGGTGCTTATCTGAAACTAAAGTATCAGCATGATAATTAAAGTTGTCATTTTGTCCTCACCATGTTCTTCATAGGCCAGTTGGTAAAAATTGAAATTTTTTTAATTTTACATCAGATTCAGTTTATGTAAGGCTTTGGAAACAGTCCTAGTGAAGGGAACTGGGAACATCTGACCTTTCTTGATGAGTTTTGAACATAGTGTTGCAAATTCCCCCAATAGTTAACACAGCACTTACAGTCATTTTTGCAGTTGCCCAAAACTCTGCAGCTCCAAAAGCAGAAGCACACTGGTGGCAGAAACTACAGCTGTCCAAGGTATTCTTCAGTCATGGTTCTTGTAGTTACTAATGAGTTCCTTCTAAAAATTAGACTAGTTTTTTTTTACCCAAAAAAGCCATTCCAGAGTAGAGCAGTTAAAGTCTTAGCGGGTAATGCTATCTGCTGATAGGCTTCAGAGGTGAGGACACAAAAGATGTTTCAATGTGATCAGGAGCCACTTCAAAAGAAGCAATGGCCAAAATCAGAAAATAATTAAAAAACATACCCAGATTCAGATTTATCCAATGCATCAGACTGGAAGATGGTTGAAGTCTACATCCAATTACATGTAGGTTTAAGCAGTCTCTATTCTAAGGCAAACTATTTCCACAGAAGGTGGAGGGGGGAAACCCTCATCCTGAAGATGGTAATTTAGTAACTAGTAGAAGTTATTTGTTTCACTGAGTAGTAAATAAGGGGCAATTTTAAGTATAAACGTGCCAAATCTCAGTGTCGGAGCACTCCTGAATCCTTTGGATGCACCATATGATGAACTGAGAGAAAATATGGATTTACACTATTTAAGATGCATCTTAATCTAGATCTGATTAACCTGAGAAAACTGACTCCTCTGGATGACTGAAGACAATCTCCTGGGTTAGGCAGACTCCAAAGTACCAGGACACAGTCTGAGATTTAGTCTGCCCCTTGCAGAGTGGGTGGGATAATTGTTTAGAGGGCAGACACCAGAAATTCTTAAGACCTTCCCTCACTACATAGGATATCCTGGTCTATAATTCAGATTCCTACTTTTGATTATATTTTCTCGTAATTTCACAGGATCAAAAAAATTTGCAGGATTCAATGTATCCCCTTTTGTCTACAGTTAAATCTCTAAGATGTGCAAGTTATTGACTCCTTCAAGTGTCTGCAGGCTCTGGATTTATGAATTTCTAAATCAAACTGATTCTGTATTTCTAAATCAAATTGAGAACTGAGTTACCAGAAAGTATCTTGTGTGTCTGGCACACAGATCAGGTTCTGATCAATTCTGTGCCCTGTGACAGGTACCAGAACTTCCCCATAGCAGTCCCAAATAAAACAGCCAGAACTAAAGAAGATAAGGAGGAAATTTCAGGATAAAACACACAGTGCTTAGCATTTATCAATTTTCTATGGCCCTGCTTCTCAGGCAGGCTAGAAGAGCAATGATGTTATGCCAAGAGAAAACAAAACATAAAATAGAATTGCCTAATGCAGAATGGGGTTAAGGGCCTCATTATGGTGTATATAGGGTCTTGCTTGCTACATTAGGAGACATAACAGGATACTTTTGTGATTTTCATTACAAATACCTTCCAATGTTTAACAGTAACTTTCGCTGGAGACATGAACATCAGGAACTCTGAGGTCAGGCTAAAACCAAACCAGATGCATCTTACTGAGGGCATTTGAATAAGGAGAGCAGTAGATCTAACAGCACAACTTTCGAAGTGTAAATTTGTATTAAGAGAAAAAAAAAAATTATGAAAGTGTCAAAGTATGAACTTATGGCAAAGTAAACAGTCACATGAAGTAAGTCTCAGGAGACCTTTCTGCACCAGCAGCACATGTGCACACTCTGAATGCAGGCCAGTGAGGGTGTGAGTGCCAAAGAGCATTCCTCATTTAAAGAGGGATCCCTCCACACTGGAGCCAGAGTGCTTCAGTTCTCCAAAACCAAGTGTTAGTGCTTTTGAGCTCATGCTCAAACTCTTCAAGGTCTGCCTATGCCTATGAAAGCACATCTTTGTATGTGAAGATAGAAGTGTATGTGCGTGAAGGACTAAGGGACTGCTTACAACAGATTTCTCCATGTGCTAATTAAAAGAAGCTAATATACATAATTTCTTTAGGATGTTACTGGCACCTGAAAGACAAGTTTGTGGTGCTAGGTAACCAAGAGATTAAAGTAAGACTAGCCTAATACAGCTAGTCTTATAAATGGCTCCCTTATAAATGGTTCCTTTACTTCAACTGATTTTGAAGAGACTGTATGAAAATGTAGACCAGTGGTGAGTTAAGACTCATCTATAGTATTTCTTTGATGTGCATTTTGAAGCTAAACTCACCTGAATGCTGAAATTGGGATATTTGCTGTTTAATTAGAGTAGGACTGTGTTGCTCTGTCTGCATAATGTAATATGGAAACAGTAGGAAACAGCAGGAGAAACCTGAATTTAAATAGTGTAATCTGGAAAAAGACCTTTTAGTAGAAATGCAGGTTGCACAGAAAATTTTCAAACAAACATACTTCAGTCATGAGCACTTTTGTACGCATGGTCCTGTGCTTCTAGAACACCCCTCATCACAACACTTCAAGGTCATGAGCTGGGTGAAATGAAGAAATACAGTCCCTCACTATTTCAAAGAAAGACATTCTTGCTAAATGAGCTGGAAACACCACAAAGCCCCCATTATCTCTTTATTTTGTGACAGAGTCATTTGAATGACCCATCACCTGTCCCTGGTCTAAAAGAGCACTGCTCCACTCCTCTGGATTGCTGATGTCTCATGTGCAAAGCTGTAATTATGGACTGCAACACATTTTCAAACACACATAGAGCAAAGGAATATACCTCATATAGTCCCCAACTAAGAGGTTGCAGAGAAATCAAGCAACTGCAGACACAAACACTTTCTGGATACCAAACAAGTTCTCCTTTCACGGTGTAAATTTGCCCACTCATTAATCCCAAAAATCACTAAACGTTTTGGCATTTGATGGGTATGGCAGCAGAAAGGATTTGAACATCATGTGAACAGCTTCAGTAAGTCTTTCATGCTCACTTCCAGGGCACTACTGAAATCTGATATCTTTTTATGGCATGGCACACTCACCATGATGAATGATTCCATTTTCCAACAGTGCCTGTCCCAGGTTGACCCCCTCCTCTGGTTTGCTGATCTCTCCAATCTCAGTAAGCCACGACACAAACTCGCTGCAAAGGGGAGCAGAACACACACAATGAGCTCTGAGTGGCAGCAGGCACTTGCCTCCAAGTGCCAACCACAGGAGACTCTCTTTGAAGCAAGTGTGAAAACTGTTGGAAGCAATGGTACCTCTACCCAGTGGCTTCATTTCCTACACTCCTGGAGGAAATGCCCTGCAGAAGATTTAGGCTCTTCCCATCTCTGCCCTTAGCTCACAGTGTGCACACAAAAGAAAAGATGACCTGGCTGCATCTATAAGAATGATGTAAACCCTTATTTTATGGAGCAATACAGACACCCATGGGGAAAAAGATTAGTGAGCAAGATTAACTGAGGACCTTAAATCAAGTTCAACAGTCAGGCATCCTCCCTTCCCAGCTACTTCTTCCCAAGTTACCTATCCAAGTAGCGTTCATGATTTGCCTTAATTACACATGCTCATTCTCCTGCACTGGCTCTGATTTCTGTCCCCAGTCCCATGGTGTAACTGGATTGGCTTTAATGGAATCACAGTAGGACTCAGAGCAGAAGAATCAACCTACTGAATTCAAGCACACAGCAGTAACAGATAGCATGAGTCCTACTGACAGGTTAATTTAAGGTCATTTTCTGGAGGTGGTGCCTGGCAGATTACATACATCATGCTTCTAATTTATACACAGAAGGTGCTAAGTCTCATCTGCTGCTCATGCAGCACGAAACAGAACCTCTCTGTTGAGGGTCAGAGCTGCACACATGGGCAGAACAAAAGCTAAAAAAGGAATAGATATGTAGGATGCTATTCATTAGAAACAGGAAATACGAAGAGCAGCTATCACAGCAAACTGGATGAATCCAGCTCTGCCAGAGCCCCAGGGGACTGAGCTGTTTGCCAGGTTAATTAGCAATTATGCTAGAAATGTGTTACAGTCATGGAGAAGAACAAAAGGAATATGTGAAAGTAGAGCAACTTATGGGAAATGTGAGTTCAATAAAACGGGTACTTGCCAATGTGCAGAAGGTTGCTGCTTAACAAAGCCAGTAGCCGTGTCTCCACCTGTGGGCTTTAACTAAAATATTTTCAGTTTCTTTTTATTTATCAGCACCGACTGATCTAAGCTGTAGGAATTATTTGCAATTTGCCTTTAGAATAACAAAACAACTTCAGGACTGAAAATTCTGGTTTGCTTACAGGCTACTTGGTAGCTGTCATAGTGCAGAAAAAGCAGCAGAATCTATTCAACTACGCCAGGAGAATTCCATGGAAACCAGTAGTTTGGTGAAGCCCCTAAAGTCATATTAGTGATGAGTCAGTCTATCTCCTAAGGAAAGTTATTTTCTCAGTTATTCTGAACAGTTTCTGTAAGTATTTAAAAGCTGAAACAGAATATAAACTGCAGAGGGAGGCAAAGTAGGAATGATCCTCCACCCTCTCTACTGAGGACACAAGGCAGGGCCACTGTGCAGAGCCCCGCCAGGGAGCTGCTGCCAGGGACTGCCCCCACACAAAGCACCCCTTGCTCTGGAGTTCCTCATCAAGAGCAATGGGTCTGTGGCACTTTACAGCACTTAAACGGCTGCCCAAAACCCCAGTGGTACCTACCCTGTTACCCTTCCTGCTTCTTTTATTTGGAACTGTCTCTGGAGTTTATGTGGATTCTAAATGTAAGGTTGATATGGTGAGCCAAAATGGGAAAATAACTGAATGCTACCCTCACAGCTCTGAAGCTTCCCAATCATGGGATGGCTTTCTTAAGAGCTGCTTTAACATTTCTATGACATTTGATTCAGAAGCAAAATGGGTAATCATTTGATTTGAAGGTTTTATAAGCCGTGAAAAGTGCATGATCCAAAAATATTCCAATAGGTTCTTAAGGAATACACTAGACTGTTTCTACAAAGTCGTCAACTCAAAGAGTGGATGGGAAAGCTTGATTTGTTTCCTCGTCTTCTCTGAATCAGTTCTCCAGGATAATTGAGAGAATCCTCACTTCCCAGGGCTGCCATGCTCAGTTCTAAAATCTGACATCCAGGTCAGGACACCATCTCCCAGCTACACCTTGGAAATGAAAGGACTTGGAACAACTGTGTTTCTACACAAGAAATACACAGGAAAATCCAACCCATCCAGGACTGTATAATCTGATCAGATATGGTAGAAATCTCCTGAGGATACCAGATGTTCTCTTACACACTCAAGATTTTGCAGTGCTGAAAAGAAACACAGCCAGCATATCATTTACACACAGTGACACCAACACACATCATTCCAACCGTATCACCAGTTACTTGCCTAAATGCCACGAAGAGTGACCAGGAAAATAGATTTCCACTCAAGCCAGTCAGTTCCTGAAGTTAAGTTCAATAAACAGCTTTATAAAAAAGTGCATATGATATCTGTGAAAATATTAGGATTAGATCATGCTGTTTCTCCTCCCCCCTCCAAATGATCTCTTGAATTATGAGATGCTATCTGATACCCACACACTAAGAGAAAAATTATCTTTTTGTGGCCTTGGGGCTGCTCTCAGCTGCACATAACAAAAAAACCACTAAATACATCTCAGCACAGTTATCAGTGACTCCCTTAGGCAGAAGTATCTGCAAAAATAAACAGGTCACAGCCAATATGCATTGTTCAGGGAAATCCCTGGGTATGATACAAAATCTGACAGTCATGACTGGAATGTACTGACTGAGTTGCACTCAGCTGAGTTTCCCAAGACTATACCAACAAGTGAATGCAAAAAAGATATCAGCAGAGTTACTTGCTGTGGGAACAGCTAGAACATTAGGAGAAATAATCCTTTTTTCAGAGATCAGGATACCTGTAGGTATCTCAGTCTGGGCTCAGTTAGCCATTAGCAAAGGTAGGTCAAGTCCTCAGTAACAGAGTGTCAGGTGGCTGTCAAGCAAACTAAGGGCTGTAAGAAAAGAGACACTTTAAAAGGAAAAGCAGTAGCAGAAGTCCTGGCTAAGACTTGAAAGTAAGCATAGCATCAGGGAACCCACAACAGACTAATCCATAACAGCACTGGAAGAACGCTAGGTTTCTGACCTGGTACTTCTTTGGCATGGAAAATAGGAACTGCCATAATCAGATCTAACAGGTTTCAGTTTTAATCCAACAAGATCAGCCGGGGGGAGAGAGAGGGGGAGGATGTGTATGAAGAAGAAAAAAGCTACTGCTTCTCCAATATCAAGATTTATTATTTTTTCCTAGCAGAAGTATCACCAACCTGTGCTACCAGCCTGCCTTCTGTCAGGCAGAAAGACATTTCCACCCCTGTGCCCAGCAATGCTGCTGCAAACTGCTGTTACAGAGACCAGAGATGGAAGGGAAATGAATGAATATCTGCCTCAGAACTTTTCTTCTTCCCACAGCTGATCATTTCAGTCAGTAACAGCTGAGGTGGAAAAGTCTTCTTAGGTCAGGAACTGAGTGCTGTGCCGCACAGGACACGTCCCCACAGCAGCCCCATGCTGCCACTGCCAATCACCCGAGACGCCCACAGAATCTCTTCTGCTGCCTCATGCGTCACCCTTCAGAATTAGCTTGTCATTATTTTGTAATATCCAGCTGAATCAAAGAGTTTTTTCCCAGCCAATGAAGTCCTATACTTCTAACAAATCTATCAGGTCACATGATGCACAAAATGTCATTTGTGCCTGTTACACTGATAAACAGGAAACTTCTAAATACAGTCCTGAGGCCTGGGCAGTTCTGCTGGATTTAAGAATCACCTGGAAAGCATTTGCTTGTATACAAAAGAGTACAGGTTAGGCCAACAACCCTGAGCTTGCGGGAGTTTAAGGTAGTTTTCTTACTCCTTTTGCTGATCTGAAGCAGCTGTTATGACTTCCTGTAAAACAGAGTAAGCAGTCACAATATTCAGCCCGTGTATGATGTGAAACAAAATTATTATTTTTAATAAACCACTACTGTAATGGGGTTTATGGCCTTTTTAATTAAGCTGCATCAAAGAACATCTGATCTGTGTCACAATGCCATCCCCTGAAATTCTAGAGTCCATTAATTGGTGTGAAAGACCTTTTGAATTCAAATGCCACTTACTTGCCAAGAAAGCACTTGGGAACAGTACTTAATTTTCTTCTCCTGTCTTTGATAAGGTTCACTTTCTTGCTCGTCATCATTTGGTACAGCTTCTCTCCTTTCTCTGCAATCATGACATATGCATCCCTTTCCATTCCCAGCTTCAAACCTGGAATATAAAGCAGAAACTCCTTCAGATCTTTAACATCAAATAAAATGTTCGCTCAAAGTCAAAAGCTGAGGCCAAACAGCAAAAATGGTAGAAACACAAAAATTGATTGACTTATTTTCCATTTAAGGGGGAAATTAGGTAATTTTAAAAATCTGAGTATAAAACTATCATTGGTAAGTTTAACACCACTGAGCTGCAGCTTTTCTTCTCCATTTTAAAAAGTAGCTTTAAATTTTTGGTTATATCATATCACACTAAACAGAATGGTTTACAGAACATGAAGAAAGTCCAAAGCAAGATGAACACTGGACAGGGCAATCCCAAGCACGAATACAGCCTGGGAGAATGGATTGAGAGCATCCCTGGAGAGAAACACGGGTGCAGGTGGATGAAAAGCTCGACATGACCCAACCACATGCTCTGCCACACAGGACACCCCCGTGGGCTGCCTGATGCCCCAGTGTGGGCAGCAGGGGAGGGGGATTCTTCTGCCCCTCTGCTCTGCTTTTGTGGGGCCCCACCTGGAGTGCTGTGTTCAGTCTGAGGCCCTCAGTATGAGAAGGACATGGAGCTTCTGGAGCCAGTCCAGAGAAGACCCTGGAGCTGCTCCAGGGCTAGAGCCCCTCTGCTCTGGAGCCAGGCTCAGAGAGCTGGGGGTGCTCACCAGAGAAGAAAAGGCTCCAGGGGGAGCTCAGAGCCCCTTGCAGGGCCTAAATGGGGTCCAGGAGAGCTGGAGAGAGACTGGGGACAAGGGATAGAGGGACAGGACACAGGGAATGGCTCCCAGTGCCAGAGGGCAGGGCTGGATGGGATATTGGGCAGGAATTGTTCCCTCTGAGGGTAGGCAGGCCCTGGCACAGGGTGCCCAGAGCAGCTGTGGCTGCCCCAGCCCTGAAAGTGTCCAAGGCCAGGCTGGACGGGGCTTGGAGCAATCTCGGATAGAGGAATGTGTCCCTGCCCATGGCCTTAAATGGCCTTTAAGGTCACTTCCAGTCCAAACCATTCTATGATTCTGTGGTTCTCAGCCTTCTGAAACTGTTCTGAAACTGATTTCCTCTGGCAATTTCACTTGTGAACCTGAAAAAGCTTCAAGCATAAGACTTGTTGAAGGTATTTAAATGCTTGGAAGAGCAGGAGACTTTTTGAATGTTCTATTACTTGAAGCCGAAAATACAAAACTGCTGAAATCAATTTCACTTTTGTGAATAAATCAAAATTGGGCAGGCATATTATTTTCTCATCCTTTATTAATCAGCCTATTTAATAATACATTTAAACTAAAAATAGTCTTTGACAATCATATTACCCAGTAAATTAAATAAATACTGCATGACTTAAAGAATGACTGATAACTGAATATAAAGAACATTTCATGTTCACTCTGTACAAGTTCCCAAGTACATAGTTCATGCTAACTTGAAAACTGCTGCAGGCAGAGGGATGATCTCTGAAAACAGCACATGTCTCTGTTATAACTATCCTCAAAACTGGCATTTTTTGGCCCTCATCTCTTTAAATTTGCAAATTGCTTTAGGACGACAGCATTTGCAAAAGCTGTTTTGGTGCTGTAGATGCTTTATGTCTTCTAGTCTGAACACACAGTTTTCTGGATATGTTACTCTGGAACTTGCAAACCTGGGCGACTCTGGAGTCCAAAAGAGATACAGATTTTAGACACCTCCAAGACTAGCTGGTGAACAGACAGCCTGAAGTGGTCCTGTACTTCCATGCCTAATTTTAGCAGAGATCAACATTAGGCAGAATTTAAGTGATCAATGTAAGGCTAGAGAAAAGGAGAACTGTGCATTTTTTTGGGAAGAGAAGTTCATCCTAACTGCATGTAAATCCTGTTGCTTTCATGAATCAAGAGCCTTCTGAGACCTCAGAGCTCTTTCCTAGCTTTTGGGAAACATTAAGGACAGATTTTAATTCTGCCCATGAAGGAAAATGCAAAACCTTTTCTCTTCCTCTCAATTATGTGTATATGCATATACATTTGTCCTATAAATTCATTCAGTGCAGTACAAAATACATCATCCACTTACTCTCTCTCTGCTCCCTTTCCCTGATTATGGCATCCAGCCACTTCTGTTTATCTTCAGCAGTCTTGGCCATACAGACAAACCACTTGTTTTTGGCTGTGTTGTGAATCTTCCAGCCATTTGTCACCGTGTAGCCGTTACTGTGGTAATCTGCTGCAAAAGACCCAAACACAAAGCACACAGTGAGCAAGGAAGCTTGGTCCTTTAACCAAACCAGTGTAGGGCACTTCCAGTAAAATCATCTTCTCTGAAGACCTTGATTCCTGAGGTATTCCTCACTGATTGCCCATGGAACCAGCTGTACTTACCACTCTGGAAGTACAAGTATCAGCACGCTGTTCAAACTGACTGAATGCTTCAGTCCTAAGAGTGACACTTGCTGATTTCATTTCTGAAGAAGAACTGAAGTCTTTTAAATACAAGGCCATCAGTGAAATAGTCTGTGATGTTTGAACAGGTTATTTGTTCTGAATTTTCTGGGGACACACTATCTTCCTGTACTGTAAGAATTTCTGTCCCCATGACATGGAAACTCTTTATGTGTCAACTGTTTAAAGGACATAATACTAATTCCTGACTTATTACAATAGGGGCAGCTGTGGTGTGGCCTTGGTGGATGGAATCAGAAACACACCCGGTCTTCCTGCCTGTGTCAGGATACAAGAGTCATAACAGAACTGCCATTCCCGTATTTTGCTCATGGTCACATGCCATGCTACTAATTTGAATACTAAGACTAGCATTTAGTGGCATTCTAAAGGAGAAGAAAGTCCAGAAATTCTGCTATTTTAGCTGTAATGGCTTACATTATTTTTTTGATTAAAAAATCAAAGGATGGGAAGTTTTATTAAATTAGTTTGGATTAGGACAAAAAACCAGACAAGCCTCTGGGAACACATACTTTTAATAAGGTCATTTCAGAAGGAAGGACTAGTGCCTGAAAGCGTTTCCAGTCTTTCAACCATGTAAGTTGGTCCAATAATGAAGGCACTACAAGTTCCATAGATTGTTTCTGATTTCACTAGAGGAGATGGACAAGTACTTTTTCAATACCTTCCAATACAAGATCTGAACTCACTGTGCTCTTAAAAGATAATATTTAGTCACTTACCTGTTCCATCTTCCACATTCTCTACTTCCATTACTTCTGTATTTATTCGGCCCCTGAATATATAAAGTGATCCGTTGATTGACTTTGTCCTTTTAGATGTTTTTTTCCCAGTAACTCTGCAATTAGAATGAAGACTGTTAGCAACACGTAAGAAAACAGTCTAACACATATATGAATAAGTCAATCTGAGATATGACTATTGAAGGAGGATTCTGATATAGTGACCAGTGGTATATGACCACACCTCTGCTGTTATGTAATTGGAATCCTCATTCAGATTTCCAAGATAGCTGTGTACCAGTGTTAGTACAGCAATAATGAGCTTGCTTTGCCAGATTATGTGAAGGTGTGGGTGCCTTCAAGATTTACATTCTTGATGACACTGAAATGCATGTCCATGAACAGCACATGGCCTCAGGATGACAACTGCAGCATCACCTGAGAGCATTACGTTTAACTCCTCTGTTCACCTAAATTTGTGATCAATCTGTGGTATGCACCAAGCTTTAAATATGAAATGAACTATGTAAAGAGGCCAGTGTCACATGGCCTGCCACGTGTGTTACACATTGTTGTAGGGAAAATTCTGCCAGGGCAATTTTGCACCCAAGTTTACATCCTTAGCCATAAGCTTTATAGTGTCTCTGTTGAATTCAGGAAAGCACTTTTCATTATTAGTAATGCTCTGATTTTTATGCCTAAAATAGGCTTAAAACTATCCAAGTGACACCTGTTGTGCTTTACTATCCAAGAATAACCTTGCTAAGCCAAAACACAACTGGTCAGATGGTCATTAAGAGGTGGCAGGTGTCCAAATTCCTGTCAGTAAAGATTCTGCTGTGGCAATTGGTCAGTACCTCCTAAGATTCAAAAAAATACTGCAGTAAAAATCAGCTGGGGGAAAAAAATTCTTGTCAGAGTGAAGTATTTATAATACTTATAATAAACTGAGGTGAGATGAGAATCACCAATTTTTTTTCTGGACATTTTTTCTTTTACAACTAACTACCTTTAGTGACAAGTACACATTTCACGATGACCACATATTTACATCCAGTCAGACTGACAGGGACTATGATCTTGGAGCTATTGGATCCTTTCCTAAAGACAACTCAAATCAAAAGAAAACCTGCCCTGGCAGCCCTAGGGAAACCCCTCAAATGTTCAGCCTATTTCCCTACATGAAACATACAGTTCCTGACTGACATCAGGATTTAACAGCAGTCTACGATCCTGCTAAAACCAAAACCAATACTCAGCCCTGAAAATCTACGTCATCAGTTTGCCAGTCTTCCCTACGCTTCTGCAAAAGGAACTATTGCAGAGCTAAAATCACAGACCTAATTCTGATCCTAAGTACACCTTACACTGGGTTAGACAATCCTACTCCTAATTTACGTTATTGTGAAAAAATAAGATGTCCAGATGGGAATGCTGCATTGTTGTCTACTTATCAAAGACTGAGCCCAGAATTCTGACGGCATTTTTGAATCAATAAATACTGCACTGATTTCTACAAGTTAGCATAACAAAATGAGATGAGAACTAAGTCATTTAATCTCAAATAGGAACAGACAGACAGTTTCTTAATGAGGTTTGGAGTTTTTTTAAGGAATGTCCGACTAACATTGTTTGTCCATTGTTTGAGAGCAGCTGGCCAAATTGACAGACCAACACAAAGGAAAAGACATTGATTTCCATTCTAGACTAATGATAAATAGCAGTGAGACAGCAGAAATATCCAAAATTAAAGCAGCTCAGTGATCAAAATGTATCTTGTACGCTAGGCAACTCCCAGCAGACTTAATGAAATATTATGTTTTTTAGTGGAAATCGGATCCTCAGCATCCCATCAGTTCAAGTTACATTGTCAGACAAAGGTAAACAATACCAGTCCCCTGAGAAACCCAAGTGTTACTGCAGCCTCCTCCAAAATCAAGTCAAGCCACAGAGGAGCTTGGTAACGTCTCCTGCACAAAAAGAAAGTTCTACTTAAAGGGCACTGGAACATTTTGTTTTCTAAATCTAGTATTCCAGGAAAATTGCCTGGACAGCGCTGGAGTTAGGCTAACCTCAAAGACAAATAGGCTAGAAAAACAGTTTGTAAGAGCTCTGAAGAAGCAAGAGATTAGTATCAAATTAACTGGAGGATTTTTAAGGAAAAGTTTTTGTTAGAAAATATATTTGTGAACTTGGTGTCATACAGAATTTTGCACTTTGGTAAATCTGATAAAGAGTCCAAGTGAAGTGTTTCCTCTCCCTTGTGCCATTTCAGGGTCAGAATGCTTCAGGCAGACAACATTTTAAGTATTTTAGATTTAATGGTGTAATTTTTTTTTTAATTTAAACATTTTATCTCATCTAATTTTGAATGTAGATGTCACCTAATAATTTGTATTTAGGTTGTACAGATTTGGCATTATACACACAAAAACCTCTGAACATTACTGACGTTAGCTCACAGCTTTCACAGCTTAGTGGTTCCAAAATTTCTGTTGTTTTCCTGAGGAAAAAAAAAAGAAAAAAAGAAAAAAGAAAAAAAAAAAAAGGATAAAAAGACACAAATTTTAAGAAATTAGATTTTTCTTTGGAGACAACACTGGTTTTACAGAATTTCTAATTTGGTTGGTTGTTCTATTTGGCCATGACCAGTAAGGAAGTATAACTTGAAGCAGGGGGATTGTATTACAGAGAAGGGAAGAAGAGGAGAAGAGAGTGCAGAGAATGCGTTGTAAATTCAGAATGAGACTGGTATTGTGAAGGTGGAAAGCTCAGGAACTGAAATACTGTATAACTGCTGCAGAAGCAAATTGTCTTCCACTCTGCCAATGTTATTTTAATTACAAGCAGCAGGTGTTAATAATACTTTAGGTTTCTTAGGTGGGATGTTGCAAAAAAATTCCTAGGATAAGAAAGGAAGACAACAAACAGAGCACATGGGCTGTAAACACTAACAGCAACAGCCGAATCTTCATCTCTTTCCCACTCCCCTTGGCCCTGCATCTATTTTATGTTTGCTTAGTCTTCCACTTTCCCCTATCTTGGCTTTTTATCATTTTTCACATCACCCTCTTATGCTTAGCATAACTTCGCAATGCAAGTTGGCACCTTCACATAATTCCTGGAGATGCAGCTGCCCTCAGAAGCTTTTTGTCTGTAAGTACTCACAGCTTTTGCTGCACTGTTTTAACTCCTCTTTGGACTGCACACTTCTTAGAGGGGCACAGCGATACTGCCTGGACTATTTATCCTACCACATAGTGACTTCTCCCTCCTATTGCCTAAGTGACAAAAATAGTCAAGAACAAAGGAAACTTCCACCTGTGACTCAGCCCTGCAGAGCAACAGAGAATACAGTGAATGATCAGTAACTGATCACAGCTTCAACCTAGGAATCTTCTGAATGGTAAAACTGAAAGTACAGAGGGACTCACCTCGATTTCCTCTTGCAATAGACCAGGAGATTATCAAATAGAAAGAACATTCTCTCCTGGATGTTTCCTGCTGAGATTTTTAATAAAGTCCCTTGCAGCAAGAGCTGTGTACAAATATCTGTAAGATTTGACCCCTAAAACATAAAAAAGAGAGATTAATTTTCCTTTATGAAGGTCTTTTACTAACATGCTCTTACTTTATCTGCCATTAAACTGTGAAATAACTGATGCAGTCAGAAGGATTTCACCCAGATCTATTTGCCTTTCAGATAAGATCTGCCCATTTAAAATGTCAGTTCCACTCTAGCTCTAACACCTTCCCTTCTTTCATAATCCACTTGTTCTGCTACAATTTAGCAGCAGCCTGCACATACAAAATAAGCTCTAAATTCTAAATTCCTCAGTGATGCTGCCCACCCCTTCAAGAGCGTTTACACATCACAAAAGAAGCAGAAATAAATGCCTGTAAACAGCATGAGTCATTAAACTGTGCATGAACTGCCTCCAGGGAGGTCATGGTCCTGCATCCTACCTCCCATCCTTCAATGTGCGACTGCAACTGTTCAAGGGCTTCCAGTTTCTCCATCTGTCTCTTGGTCTCGTTGATATTTGTACAGACTGTCTTCATTGCCTGAAGTGCACTCTGGACAGCTGGGTGATCAGGATGCTTAGAGGGAGTCCTCTTAGCTAATTCCTTTAAAAAAAAGAGAGAAACATGGAAACTGAGAAGTGGTTCATGGAAAGGTAAGAGCATTAGCAAGCAATCCTGCAGGAAAATGCTAGAACCATTGCAAATTACAGAGAATTTGGGGACATTTTACTGCAGGTGCTGTCCTCTATTCTTCATCTGTACAATGTTAATATGAATGTTGTTAAATAAATGAGGCAATTGCTCATGTTAAATATGCTACGCTAAGAGAGCTCAAGCCAAGTATGTTTTGCTGTGTCAGATGTGTTTACTTTCTATTTTTAGAAGGATGGGGCATGTGTCCTGACATAGAAACAAGCATCTCTGCTCTGAAGGAGTCTGTAAGAGTGTTTGCTTCACTTGTGTCAAAGACAACAGCCCAGTTAAGCCTCGTCCACTAAAAAACAGCAGAGGCAAGACTCAGAACCTGACAATATGAATGAGTATGGCAAAAAGGGCAACCACTGTCAACTCACAATTAATCATTATTTCAAACCAATAGTATTTCATAGTTAGCCACAACTGATTAAGAATACATTAAAGAAATCTAAAATATGGCTGGTAATTTTACCTTGATACATAATACGGTGTTGAAAACTGAAATACTTTACTTTTTTCACTATCTTTTGCATCATGTTATTTGGTTGTTTAAAGGTGCTGTGCTGCTGAATCTCATGATTCTGCAAGAGACACAAGAATGTGTTTGGATACAGCCAGAGAGACTGCCCAGCACTGTGATGTGAATGAAGCTAGATTGCTTCCATCCACCTGTGACTTACAGAGTAACAGATGCACAGGAAAAGGAGGCTCACTGCTACAAATGTCAGTTGATATTCCTGTGGGAGTCTTTACTCTACTTTTGCTGAAAGTGTGGCCAAGAAAAGTAAATGTTCAAAAAGTAAAGGCAGGAGCCAGGTGTTATGCTTTGGTGACTATGCTGGTGACTAGCCTCTGCTCCCCAACTGCAACACAGATGACTCTCACCAAAGATCAGTGAAGCTCTGCAGCTCCAATGCCACCCATACTGCACTGGAAACAGGTATGTACACACTAGCACTGTTTAAACATCTCATTCAGAAATATCCCCAAAATACAGAGAGAGACCTCTTCATTCACAGCACACCCTGCTGCAACAAACAGCATCTTCTCCACTCCCGTCCCAGCGCAGCAGCAGGAGGAGGCTGGGAACGGCAGTGAGGGTTCTGGCTGGGACTGGCACCCTCCCCCCTCCACAGCCCTGTCTGAAGCCATCCAAGGCAAAGCCGTGCTGCCCTGACACTGCCATTTCCCAAAGGAGCACAACTTGGCACTTCAGAAACACAGGGAGAGAGCTCTGGGTACTTCTTTATTTTAGTGACACATTTATGATGTGTAAACTCTATGAGCATTTGACAACATTTTGAAAGGCAGCTAAAAGCCAGCCCAGATGGCAATCCCTGGGTATGCCCTGTCCTCCACAAAGCCCACAGACATAGCTGTCTGGGATTGCTATCTCCTTGCAACTTGTGCACTAACAGGGCCAGGAAATGAGGCTGCTGCCACTTCTACTTCTTGCCGAGAGTTTCTTAAAATAATTCATAAAACACGCTTATCTTTCTTTTTTTTTTTCTTTTAAAGAAGTCTGTGACATCCTTCTCCGTGTCCTCCCTTGCCACACAATATTGACTGTGTGCTTCAAACTGACAGCAAATACACTTTGCAGCTTTTATTTGAGAAATTCATTCCTCCTGTCTTTATTCCCCTGAGGACACTCAGACATGGCCTAACACGGTGTTTGTCCATGGGATGCTGACCCTGTGCTGCCAGGCTGCCCTGCTCTGCACCTCAGCCCTGGGCATGCACCGGCCACGGCTTCAGAGCCACGGCCCTCGCTGGCCTGCCGAGCAACACACCTTTACAGAGATAACAAAACACAACGTACTCCTTTGTTTATCACTTCAAAAAGTTGTGTTAATCAACAGTTCGTCTCCAAATGTTCTTGGGGAAAAAAAAAAAAAAATTTAAATAAAAAGGCAAAAAAAGCCCAAACCACCTTTGTGTAAACTTATGTTCCTGGGAGTTTTATATTTGTATTTTACAGTTTGTAATATTTGCCTGTACAAAATTCGTTTTCCACTTAAATTAACCAGAAAATAAATGTTACATCAAACTTCTTCTGTGTACCTGCAAATCACAGTAGTTTTTTTATTCTGCATATTTTTAA